TCACTGTGTGACATTCCATATGAGATTAAAACTAGGGAAGCATAATCAAGAGTGGTCATTGATGAAATTTGCAGACTTTATATTTGAAAAATATTAAGTGTATAACATTTATCTTGTATTGCATTGTTTATATAGTGTATGATGTCATTGTAAGATAACAGTGATTTGTCTATATGGAACTCGAACCCACATTTATATGCAAATGCATATCGCTCTACCATTTGAGCTAATAGACAATCAACTCTTATTTAAAAACATTATTTATACTCAAAATCATGTTTGTTAATACATTTTATACACAAAGTATTGATGGTAGCAGTACTTAAACCAATTGGATGCACCAACAAAAGGACTTCACTCTTGTACTTTAACCTATTAGAAATGCATTTTAATCTTTGCAAAACTGCATCATTTCATATATAATTTTGAAAGACTGAGAGAAAATAGCATAGAACATAATAATAGCAACATATGCACAAACAATTGCACTAACAAATATAACTCAAAATAGCAGTAGCGTACATTCAATAGAACATAAAGTAATAAACTACAAATCACTAAAATACTCATCAAACTTTACAAATCAGTCTAGAGCCTACGGAATATGCACTGCAACTTCTTTATAATGCACTTAAGATTATATATAATGCACTTAAATTGCATGTTATGAGGACTTACAGAGAAGGGATCAATCATTCTGGACAGTGCTCAATGAATTCATACACATACAATGAATTAAAACAAAATCGTGTAAATTAAAAATATGTGCTAGAAATTAGAATAAACGAAAAGCATATTACAAACCGTAAAAAGCAAAGGCTTACTTGAATCAGTAGAAGTATGAACCCTAAGAATGGATGGGAACTCATGCCCCTTACTAAAACAAATGAATACAGATATGATCGGCTACTATAATGCATTAAATTAGGTTTTTGTAATGACATAATGCATTATAATATTTTTAACCAGACAATTTGATGTAGAAGAATCAATTTGATATGAAAGAATCAAATATCAAAAAGGTAAATCTTCAAAAGATTAAAGTTCATTTAACCACTTAGTTACATATCTGTTTCTTGTTAGTCTCAAATAATTACAAAATATTTCTCTTTCTTTCAGTAAAAAAAAGTGTCAATGGAAGATTTGAACCCACATCCATATGTAAATGCATCACACAAAGGAGTGGAGTGCAGTATTTGTGATACAAAATGCATGGTGTGAAAAATAGTCATAAAAAATGGTGTAATTAGCTATAACTTAATAATAACTAATAAGCTGCAAACCCCCATAAGTTAAGAATAAACTCCCAACCTACACAAATATTACCAATGACAAGAAATTAAAACCTCTAAAATATTCTGGAAAAAATAATTCAAGAACGAGAACCACAATATCGAGCTATATTCAAATCGCATAGAAATTATGCAAATCTGTGCAAAAATGGACATAAAAAGGGATCACAATTATGAAAAATTTTCAATATGCAAATTGCATACCTGATGAAGAAATTGAACTCATGTGTGGTCTTCTGCTAGGACACTATTAAGAGTGGTGCGTATGAAATTAGGGCGAGGAACACACCAATGAGTGATTAAACCCTCCATGACCGCCGCTGGAGAAACAAAAATCACGTTGAGATTGTGGAAAGAATTTTAGGAGATGATCGGCAGGAAATCAGGGAAAATAATCGATAGATATGGCTTAGATGAGAAAATACCAAATTACCCCATTGGTGAAACGGATCCAGTCTCCAAAATGATACAGATCTAACGGCCAGAAATCATTCTTATTTCTTTCATTAGATCTCATTCTTACTGGAACCAAACTCTATATATATATGTGTGTGTGTGTGTGTGTGTATATATATATATATATATTTATTTATTAAGGAAATTTATTATTAATAGATAAGAAGGAAAGAAAAGTACAAGTGGGGTGGCCAGTTGCCCAACACTTCGGCCAGAGTAAATGTAGGAAAGGAAATAGAAACAGGTACCATAAGCTAAATAAACTAGACAAAAAGAAACTTCCAAAATTCTAAAGGGGCTCCGATTAAACAGCTTGTTATAATTTCCACACCAAGGATTGTATAGTCTGCGCAGTTTAGTGAAGGACCAGGCATTAGCTCCAAACAGCGTAGTACAATTCCACAGGTCCCTTGTCCTCAATTATCTTCCATCAACATGTGCATTATGCCCCAGCTCTGTCGTTGTACTTTGTACCTCCATCCAAACAGAAGGGGATTCCTAACACAACTGTGTTAGCTCAACAGAGACCAGCCGTATACCCTAAGATAAGGGATATGGCAGTGTTGAGAGATGAAAAACAGGTGCTCTGAGCTTCAACTCCAACTCCTTGACTTGGAAATTAAGGCAGTAACTAAAAGAGGAAGCTAAAGGAAAAAACAGTAGGTAGAGATTACCTAAAACAACAGGACAATCAATAAGCATATTCTATTTCTTCCTCAAAACCATATGCAGAAAATTGAGACTGCTTCTTTTTCTTCTTCATTTTCTTTTTTTGGGTTTTGGTAAGGGGCTTGGTAAGAGGTTTAGGATCTTCTATCTTGTGAGGACAACAAAGTTTGAAAAAATTGATAACCTCGTCTTCATGTGATTCTTGGGGATCTAACAAGTCTTCTTCTTCGACCCAACCGATAGGATTAAATTTCCTACCTTGCTCAAGGATTTTAGCCTTACTCCTCGTAACAATTTGTGACGGTGAGTACGTCCTTCTGCCCTTGAGTTCCTTACGGAGATGGAGGGGGTGTTTGGAGCATCTTAAGAGGTCAATTTGTAGAGGTTTGAGCTTTGTATCTATGAACACAAAATCCTCCCCATTAGAGTGGGTATATAGAATGGGTCCATCCCTGTCCTTTGCGTGATCTTCCACTGCATTGAGGGATAGTATCAAACTTTGCACATGGAGATTTGAAAAGGGGTCATCTTCCAGATTTGCTATAGCTTCGGATCCTTCTTCCTGAGTGAAAAGAGCAGCATAGGAGTATATAGCAGGCACAAAGGCGGGAGCAGAAGGACTAAGAATTTTCCGTGGTAGAGGTGGAAACTCTTCGGATTGACTGGTGGAGAGGGTGAAGCTAAGAGCTGCTTTAGTTTGGTAAATAACTATTTGCTTATTAGTTTCGGCTAGGGAGAGATCACCAACAAAACCCTCTGAACTTGTGACTTCTCCACTGCATTTGGTATTAACCTCGTCCCCTGTGTCTATAGGCAGCGATGAAGCATCAGTTCCCTTGGGAGAATGGTGCAGGGATTCCTTGGGTTCCTCAGACACACACACCTTTGAGCAAAACTCAAGATTGGTAGCTCTCTTGGTGAATAAGGAGAGGGCCTTTGTGAAAAGTTTTGGGCCATCAACGTTTGAATCAAAGGGAATAATTAAGAAGATACAACCCTCTCTCCTACTCTCTCGGATTTTAGACATTTACCTCTTTTATTGGAACCAATGGAAAGGTCAATGGTTCTATTTTCCTCTAACTTGGACACTGCCCAACAGTTAAGCTTCGAAAAAAATGGCAAAGAACCCAGGATCCAATTAACAGTGTCCAAATCAAACCAAATGTGATATCTTTTAGCACCAAAATCAGAAATGCAGAAGTTATGATTGTAGAAGGAATAAAAGAGCTCAAAAGACTTATTTTGTGTCTGGAATTTAAATATCATGTTTCGGCTAGTTGATGTTGAACACTCTTCAAATCCATTGAGGCTTAATCTAGATCCACTGTAAACGTATTGGTCATACTTACCTTTAGAGAGGGGGTCTTTGAAGGGCCATCTACGCAGTCCATGAAAGGGGGTCTGCGAAAATCGATGTGAGCTGTGTTTCCTTTGGAATCCGTCGCATCGGGCATGGCGTCTTCTCCGATTACTGTAGATTCTCCGATTACTGTAAGAAATGGATGGCCGGCGCTGACTGAAAGCCTGAAAAACTGCCGCTCCTCCTTCTCTCTAGAAAAGCCATCCCTATCCCAACCCCTATATATATATATATATATATATATATATATATATATATATATATATATATATATACACATACATATATATATATATATATTTTGGTTCAGGTGAGAATGCAATCTAATGAAAGAAATAAGAATGAATCTAGTGCATTAGATTAGGAGATCTAAGGGTTAGGATTGCATCAAAATTAGGTGCACTAAGATGGTTTGAAAATGCATCATCTCGAGATGGTTATATATATATATATATATATATATATATATATATATATATATATATATATATAACACCGATATTAAATAAATTGAATTAAAAGTAATTTATATCAAATGGTAACAAATAAAATACTCCCTTCGTCCCGCTATATTCGTCCATTTTTGACTTTTTGAACTGTTCATCTAAGCACTTTGACTCATCAAATTCTCTCAATGTGTAAGCCTAAATATAGTCATGCGTGATCTTGTTTGATTTGTCTTAACATATAGATTATTAATATATAATTTCTATAATTTTTTAATATACAAATTATAAAATAAAATGGATTAAAGAAGTATATTAGATGGTGTGCAAAAATGAAAGTGGACAAATATAGTGGGACGGAGGAAGTAAAAATTAATTAAGGATTGAGGGAGCAAAAAACATATAAATGTTTGTACAAAATCAATAATGGCGGGGTACCGCTGCTACTGGGGAACGATACCACTAAAGTGTCATTGGGCACTTCGATGATATGTTCCCAAAATTGATAATTCATACGTACTATCCCCCTAACCTTCNCCCCCACCAATGCTCCCAAATTTATCTTTACACTTTCTTTTTTAAGTTGTCACAAAATAATCTCTACAATTTCTCATTCTAACCAAATTTAAACTATACATTTTTTTTTATTTATGACTATATTTTTATAAACTTTGTGAAGTCAAAGTGTTGCAACTCATTCGAGACAGATGGAGTAATCCATATGTATTTGTAGCCATTTTTATATTAAAAAATACCCCGCAATTTACTCAATTAACTTGCACTATATTTGGTTCAAGGAATTTGAGAGAGAAAAATGCCAAGGAAAATAATTTTTTGTTTGGTTAAAGAGGAAAAGAAAAAAAAGTAGAAGAAAAGAGAATGAAAAGACAAAATATAATTAATAAGAGAGAAAAAAGTTAATTCTTCTCATTTTGGTAAAGAATATGAGAGAAAATTGTTTTCTTTTCTGTTTCCTTTTCTTTTCTTTTCAAAATCCCTGAACCAAAGTAATCCTCCCTCTGTCCATTAATTTCTTTCTTACTTTTCTTTTTGGGTTGTCCAAAAATTTCTTTCTCGTTTCCTATTTCGACAAAAAACTTTTAATGAATGTGCCATTATACTCTCACTTTTTCTTTACAATATTCACTGTATTCTATCACATCAAAAACAACACATGAAAAGTCTTTACACTTTTAACTTTTCTTAATTTCCGTGCAAAGTCAAACCGGGAAAAAAGGTTTTGGATGGAGAGAGTATCAATTAATTCAACTTGTCCAGCAGTGAAATCATCCATCCATACAAAGTAATACTTCATCAATCCATACAAAGTAATACTTCATCTAACCTGGAAATCATCCATCCATACAAACAGTGAAATCATCCATCCGGAGTAATGTTTTGCACTTCATTCAAGGAGATGCATTCATCAATTTCAACAAAAAATGTAATCCATTTTTGCATTTGAAGAGGAGCGGAGAAAGCGCAAAAACTTCCGCTTGTTTTTCAACTCCGTGTTGGGGCAATACCGTTTCGTCTGAAAAACAACAATCTTCTCGAGTGTTGGAAAACGGGTAACGAGCCACTCAAAGAACTGCATTTCGGGCATCGACCCTCTAAATGAGCAGAAAACGTTCAACGTGCGAACCCCTTTGCATGTTTGAGCCACACTATCGTCTCGGTGTTTGAGTAAGGCTTTTATCGAAGTAGACTCTACATCGTGACACTTTTAACAAGAGTCAAAAGGGCAAAAGAAAATCAAATTCAGTTTGAACCCAAAAGAATAATGTTTTTTAAAGAACAGTTATGACAATGAAGATTACCTCTACATCTAGTTTGCATAGCTTTGGGCACATTCCCACCAAATGAACGAACGCAGAGATCTCTTTATTGTTACTGGGACAAAATTCCAGCTCCAGGTATTCCACATTCAATGTGGTTCCGTCCTGTCCTATTCTGCTTAGTTCTTTGGCGAAACTCTAGAATAAGCCAAATAAAATAAAATCGGGTCAAATTCTAAGCGATGCTGCAAACAAAATACTGTAAAAGGATGCAAAAGCCTATCTCATATTACCTTGAGGTAAACCGTACCGAGTTGAAGATGACGAATTGGTTTCAAGTTTAAGTTAAGTGGAAGAATAGGACTTTTGGTCCAAGGCTTAATTTGTAATCTTTTGAGCTTTGGGGCAGTAATGTTAAAATCAGAAATCTTTTCACATGTGAGACTCTCTAGCATCGGAAGATTCACAGCAGAACCTGCATTGTTTATAGTACCGAACCGAGCGTTTTCCAAATGAAGCGAAGCCACATTTGGGAATATGCAAGGGGCATTTATTGGTTCAACGAAAACACCCTTAAGATGCAACTTCTTCAATGTTTGGCAAGAAAACATGCAATCTGGCAGTATATATGCACTGCAATTCCCAAAAGATAAGGAGACTTCTTCAATGCCATTTTGCGTGAGAAGTAGTAACCATTGATCAAAGTCGGGCCACCGAAACTTATCGCGAGTTCTCCAGAAATCAAAATCAAAGACAAATTTTCGAACAGGTCCCTTGTGCTTCATGAGAACTTTGTTTACCACAAGAAAGGATGCTTCCGCAACGTAATGGTTACTAATGTAATTGAAGAATGTTTGATCAAAACTGAGATGCGAAAGACTTAACCAAACATCCCTCCAAACCGTGGACAACACTGCAGTACTAGCAGCTTCGTGAATCGGCAATAGTCCCAAAATATGGTCAAGTATATCATCTGGAAGTTTGCTGATTCGATCTCTCATTCCGGTTGCACAATGTATATCACTATAGAATACACAAATATAGAACAAAAAATAAAAAGAAATCTAATCACATCTCAAGAACAAGCATAGTCTAGTTTCATTTAGAATGAGAAGAGTGCTCATTAATTAGCAAATACTCCCTCTTTTTAGTCGTCCTCTTTATATTACTCCGTTTCATTGATTTTCATAAGATAATATAGTCATATCATCACCACTTGATTTACTGAGGGATTATGTAAATTTTGTTTTCTAATTTACATCAATATCTAAATAAATTGAATCGAAAATGATTTCGGACCCATAAAAGGAAGAATATTTATGGAGAAAGAGAGTAAAATCTAATTATCTATAATATTCATAGAGATAAAAATGGTAAAATCACTACAAATAGACAAAAGCTATTCTAACCTTCAAATCAAATATTCTTAATAGTTTCCTTTTCAAATGTGACCTAAAATTATGAAACTAAGAACATGAAATCAATTTTCTCAAGTAATTTGATGAACTGTTAACTAAATTTCTAAAGGATAAAGTAAAAATTCAAAATTGAATACCGGAAAAAAAAAATAATCCGTTGCTTAATTAGGTTACAGAAGTGCTTAAATTTTGAAAACTTACAGTTCCGTTGGCTAACAATCGGGGAAGAAGAGATCCGAACTCACGTCTCCTAGCTTCGAAAAACAGACCGCCTCGTTTTGGAAGAACATGTATAAATTGAGGCCTTTGGTAAGAGCTTCTTTGATTAGAGTGAGCTTTTTTATAATCCGTAAAATTTCAATGGTTAAATTAATTTTGAAAAAGATAACGCTTAAGAGTATCGTCGGATAACATTTTTAAAATGGTAATGCTAATTTCTAGATGTCAAAAGGAAATTGATGGTGTAAATATAATCGGGTAGGTTGACCGGGTCTAACCTGGACACAGACTCTACTCGTAGTAAAATACACACAATCAGAACACAAAGTATAACCTAGACCGGGTAAATCTCCTCAGTCGGAACTATATTTTTTACTCTGTCTCAAGAGTGTACTTTTACACTATGTTTGGTTCAAGAAATTTGGAAGGGAAAAGAAAAGAAAATGAAATGGAAAACAATTTTTCTTGTTTGGTTAGAGAAAAAAAGAAAGGAAAAGTGAAAGGAAATGAAAATGAGAGACAAAATACACCAAGTGGAGGGAAAACCAATTTCCTCCCATTTTGGTGAGGAAAATAAGATAAAATCATTTTCTTTTCTCTTCCTTCCAAATTCCTTGAACCAAACATAGTGTTAGTGAAATCAAGATTGGATTCCCTCCTCTATCCATAATCAACATATTTATAGAAAAGGATATGTGACCTTTCCCATGTTCATCCATGGACAAAATAGAAAGCTCATGGGAAGGTGGTCACTGTACATAATGAAATTACTATTCAATCATGGACTTGCCATGAATACAACCAAAACACACTGTTCAATTATTAACTTTAAGAGGATATCTTCATCCGATCAACCCTAACAAATATTCATTCTACTGTTTACCTTGTGAAGGATGAGCGGCGGGGTGATCCCTTGATCTTTGATGTGGATCGTCATGCTTAGGAGATTGGACGAATATTATCTAAGGAGAATAATATGACCGGTCACATTTCCTCAAAGGTTACCCGATCATTTCTTGAGCTCAGGACTATCCCTTGGTCTTTCGTAGCATCCTTCGTAACATTAGTGACATTTTGGAAACTCATGTCTCAGGAGTATAGTTTCAATCATTTTTATCGATTTCTTTTTAAGGTTTAATTTTATATAATAACACAATTAATTTTTATACTCCGTATAACAATCTATTTACCATTGAACTTTTAAAAGTTTGACATAAATAAAATTGATAGTTTGTAATCTCTACATTCCTCGTTCTAAACAAATTTAAACTATACATTTTTTATTTTTGAATATTTTTTTTATAAACTTTGTGAAGTCAAAGTGTTACAACTCATTCGAGACAAATGGAGTAATGCATATATATTTGTAACCATTTTTATACGGAGTATTAAAAAAGTACCTCGCAATTTACTCAATTAACTTACACTATATTTGGTTCAAGAAATTTGAGAGAGAAAAACAAATGCCAAGGAAAATAATATTTTGTTCAGTTAGAGAGGAAAAGAAAAAAAATAGAAGAAAAGAAAATGAAAAAGAAAAATACAATTAATAAGAAAGAAAAAACTAAATTCTTCTTATTTTGGTAAAGAATATGAGAGAAAATCATTTCCTTTTTTCTTTTATTTTCAAATTCCTTGAACCAAAGTAATACTCACTCCGTTCTAAATCAATCATTGCGGTTACTATACACACGGTCAAAGTTAAATCACTTTCTTTACCTATTTTCATTAATTATTTGATAAAATAATACATATAGTGTTGTCACCTCTTGTTTTGTAGAACTTTTTATGTAGTTTTTAAATATATAAATTTTATTTTTTAATTTTACACTTACAATCAAATAAATTGAATTGAAAACAAGAGCAATGCTACATTCACAAACAGAATACTCACAAACTTCACAAACTTACTATTTATGGTTTAAATTTGCATTTTAAAATGATTTTAGACTATTTAATTTTATTTATTGAAGTTCATAAATAGTAAGTTTGTGAATTTTGTGAACATTTTGTTTGTGAACCAAGCATTTTTCATCAATTAATTCAGCTAGTCCAGAAACAGTAAAGGCATCCATCCATACAAAGTAAAGTGTTCATATTCATCCAAAATGGAGAGCTAGTAATAATGTTTAACACTTCATGAGGAGATGCATTCATCAATTTCAACAAAAAAAATCTCTAGAGATGAATGTAATCCATTTTTGCATTTGAAGAGGAGCGGAGAAAGCGCAAAAACTTCCGCTTGTTTTTCAACTCCGTGTTGGGGCAATACCGTTTCGTTTGAAAAACGACAATCTTCTCGAGTGTTGGAAAACGGGTAACGAGCCACTCAAAGAACTGCATTTCGGGCATCGACCCTCTGAATGAGCAGAAAACGTTCAACGCGCGAACCCCTTTGCATGTTTGAGCCACACTATCGTCTCGGTGTTTGAGTAAGGCTTCTATCGAAGTAGACTCTGCACCGTGACACTTTTAACAAGAGTCAAAAGGGCAAAAGAAAATCAAATTCAGTTTGAACCCAAAAGAATAAGGCCCCGTTTGGTACATGGAATTCAAACGATGGAATTGGAATTGAGGACTTCAATTCCATTTCTGGTGTTTGGTACCACAAAAATATGTGGATTTAGAATTGATAGTACAAAAAATGAATTGGAATTGGTGAATTGAATTCTATGGAATTTCAATTCCAATTCCGTTCCAATTCTATCAATTCCATATACCAAACGGACCCTAATGTTTTTTAAAGAACAATTATGACAATGAAGATTACCTTTACATCAAGTTTGCATAGCTTTGGGCACATTCTTACCAAATGAATGAACGCAGAGATCTCTTTATCCTTACGGGGGCAAAATTGTAGCTCCAGGTGTTCCACATTCAATGCGGTTCCGTCCTGTCCTAGTCTGCTTAATTCTTTGGCAAAACTCTAGAATAAGCCAAATAAAATAAATTCGGGTCAAATTCTAAACGATACTGTAAACAAAATAATACTGTAAAACGATGCAAAAGCCTATCTCGTATTACCTTGAGGCAAATCGTACCGAGTTGGAGATGACGAATTGGTTTCAAGCTTAACTTAAGTGGAAGAATAGGACTTTCGGTCCAGGGAATAATTTGTAATCTTTTGAGCTTTGGGGCAGTAATGTTAAAATCAGAAATCCTCTTACATGCGAGACACTCTAGCATTGGAAGATTCACAGCAGAACAACCTACATGGTTTGGAGTACCAAACCGAGCGTTTTCCAAATGAAGCGAAACCACGTTTGGGAATATGCAAGGGGCGTTTATGGGTTCAACGAATACACCCTTAAGATGCAACTTCTTCAATGTTTGGCAAGAAAACATGCAATCTGGCAGTATATATGCACTGCCATTCCCAAAAGATAAGAAGACTTCTTCAACGCCATTTTGCGTGAAAAGTAGTAACCATTGATCAAAGTCGGGAAACCGAAACCTATCGCAACTTCTCCAAAAACCAAAGTCAAAGACAAATTTTCGAACAGGCCCCATGTGCTTCATGAGAACTTTGTTTACCACAAGAAAGGATGCCTCCGCAACGTAATGGTTACGAATGTATATGAAGAATGTTTGATCAAAGTTGAGATGCGAAAGACTTAACCAAACATCCCTCCAAACCGTGGACAACACCGCAGTTCCAGCAGCTTCGTGAATCGGCAATAGCCCCAAAATATGGTCAAGTACATCATCTGGAAGCTCGCTGATTCGATCTCTCATTCCGGTTGCACAATATATATCACTATAGAATACACAAATATAGAACAAAAAATAAAAAGAAATATAATCACATCTTAAGAACAAGCATAGTCTAGTTTCATTTAGAAGAGTGCTCATTAATTAGCAAATACTCCCTCTTCTTAATCTTCCTCTTTATCATTCAAAATTGTCAAACAATATCTGGCTTCTATATTACTCCATTTCATTGATTTTGATAAAATAATATAGTCATATCATCACCACTTGATTTGCATAGCTTATATTGTATTTTCAACATATATAAATTTTATTTCCTAATTTACATCAGTATCTCAATAAATTGAATCGAAAATAATTTCGAACCCATAATAGGAAGAATTCAAACTATGGAATTGAAATTGAGGACTTCAATTCCATTTTTGGTGTTGGGTAGCACAAAAATATGTGGATTTAGAATTGATAGTGCAAAAAATGAATTTGATTTGATGAATTCAATTGTATGGAATTGAATCCCATGAAATTTCAATTCCAATTCCAATTCAATTCCAATTCCATTAATTCCGTATACCAAACGGACCCTTAGGGGGAAAGAGAGTAAAATCTATTTATCTATCATATTCAAAGAGATAAAAATGGTAAAATCACTACAAATAGATAAAAAGCTATTCTAATCTTCAAATCAAATATTCTCAATAGTTTCCTTTTCAAATGTGACCTAAAATTATGAAACTAAGAACGTGAAATCAATTTTCTCAAGTAATTTGATCAACTGTTGACTAAATTTCTAAATGATAAAGTTAAAATTCAAAACTGAATACCGGAAAAAAAATAATCCGTTGCTTAATTAGGTTACAGAAGTGCTTAAATTTTGAAAACTTACAGTTCCGAAGGCTAACAATTGGGGAAGAGGAGATCCGAACTCACTTCTCGGAGCTTCGAAATACAGACGGGCTGGTTTGGATAAATTAATTTTGAAAAGACTAATGCTAAATACACCAATCGTATAATTTTTTCAAAACGCTAATGCTAATTTCTAAATATGAAAAATATAGGAATTGAAAAAGTAAAAATAAATTTGCGTCACAAACAAATTAATACTCTACCTTTTTAAATTTAGTCATAAGGAATACTTAGAAAGGTAGATTGGGCTAGTGAAAACTGAAAAAAAATAATTTAATAAATCAATACAGAGTAATTCATAAAAAAATTAAATCCTAAAAAAGTTGATCAAAAATATATGAAGTGAAAAAGAAGTTGTCATACTCTAATATTTCTTCCGTCTCAAAAATTTTTTCCCTTTTCTTTTTTTTCTTGTCCCAAAAACTCCTTTCATTTTTAGTTAAAAACCCATTTTAAGTCGGATAAGACGTAATTAACCTAGAACGAGTATGGAATTTTTTGTGTCTCGAAACATACCATGTGTCCTTGTATTTATAGACAAACCGTTGGGAAAAAATTAACGAAAACTTAGATGAATCGAGAGCTGTGTATAACACTTTCAGATTGAATATTTTGGTTGTTCACTCCAAAATTCAATAGGATAAAACTCGAAGGTATCAAGAATGAGTATGAATTGATGTGAAATTTCCGAACAGAAAATCCGACCATGGCTTGCGGTGAGAAGGAGAAGACGCCATCGCGTCTCTTAACCAAGACACGCGATCCTTCGCGCGGAACTCTTCAAAAATCGGTGCTATCCTTAGGAAATTTTCTTTTAAAGAAAATTCGAAAAATAAAATTCCAGTTGAATTTTTTTTAAAATAGCACCTTGCCCAAGTCAGGCGCTCTGCCCCTTGGACCCCGCAGGGGCTGCCGCCCCTTGAACCCTGCTCGGGGGCGCTGCCCCCTTGGAACCCCCAATGTAACGGGATTTTTATCGTAACAAACTCAATAAGCGTACACTCCGCACCACTAAAATATATAATAACACAAACTTCAAAACAGACGCGTTGGTTGATGAAATAACACAACTTTCGGGTAACATTCAAATGTTAGTGCTCAAAACATTTGAATGTTCAATGGCGGATTGGTTTGGACTTATACTTCTGCACTTAAGTGCGAACCATTGCAATTTATCGCAAAACATTTGAATGTGTTCAAACATTCGAACGTATCGAGCAGTTTTACACATGATGCTTTGGATAAACACAACATTCCAATGTACTGATTTGTAAATTTGAATGTTCATTATTTTCCTGTCAAATGACACCTTACGATGAGATGACATGACACGGTCAGATGATGCAAAGCTCACCACTCGTAACTGCAAAGCTCACCAAGGACAACTACAAAGCTCACCAAACTATAAGGCAAAGATTACCATATTTTTTTCAACACTTTGAATTTTTGTTTAAAAAAATAAAATCAAAGGAAGGGGTCCTGACTAGATTTTGACCGTTGACCACCACCTTTGACCGCCGCCTGCCGCATGCTGCCGCCTGCCCCTGTCGCCACTGGCCACATGTCGTCGTCGCTCCAGCCTGCCGCCCGGCCACTGCCGCGCCGCTGCCGCCGGTTTCTAGACGCCGTTATTGACTGGTGGTTGACCGCTGTTTCTATTTTATTTTTAAAATCTTTAAAAATGGTGAGTTTTGGTGTTCAAAGTGGTGAGCTCTCTTTATTTCTAGGTGAGTTTTGCATTGGCCATTGGTGAGCTTTGCAGTGTAATGTGGTGAGCTTGACGTCATCTCACCGAAGCATGTCATCTCACCGTAAGGTGTCATCTGACCAGAGTCAATTCCTATATATATATATATATATATATATATATATATATATATATATATATATATATATATATGAAATTTGGATTTTCAACGGAGAGTAGTACTTATCAAATAATATGAGATCAAAACTCCAGGGAGAATGGGCTCAATCGTTGAATTGTCTTAGAGAGATATATATATATATATATATATATATATATATATATATATATATATATATATATATATATATATAAGAGAGAGGCCTTTTTTAGAAGTTGGCTTTCAGCTGTTGATCGTTGACTGTTTGCATCAGCTATTCTAAATGACTGATAAGTTTATTTGGATTGACCGGCAAAATGTGTTGGAGGAATTACTAATTATTAATTTTTAAGTTTTACTTTTAAATTTAAAATTTAAAATTTTTCAATCTTGAATTTTAATTTTGAATTCTTAATCTTTAATCTTTGGTTTTTAATTTTTAATTTTAAACATGGAATTTTAATTTTTAATTCCTAATTTTTAATTTAATTTTTAAAATTTTAAACTAAATTGAATATTTAAATGTATAAATTTAAATTTAAATTTTATATTTTTTAAATATTTAATTTTAAAATTTAAATTTAAATTTTTAATTTTAAAGTATATAAATTTTAATTTTTAAATTTTAAATTGTGAGTATTTAGTTTTAACTTTTTAATTTGGCTTTTTTGATAAGTTAAAGAAGCTAAAGTGGTGAGAAGTCAAACGCTAGTGGAAAAGCTAATTTTCAAACATACCCACAATCTATAAGATTTATTTCTTTATTATGACTGAGAAAGGGTTCACGTGATTTTATTTTGATTTGTAGAATTTAAATTTCTTAACTTCAAATTCTTTTCTTGTGTTATGAAATTAAATATGCCTAATTGAAACATTTGGAATTAAATTTCAGTTCCAAATCTATATAATTTTATGCTACCAAACTGTAAAATTGAAATTGAACTCTTCAATTTCATGGTCTTAATTTCATATATGAAACGAAGCCTTAGGGGCTGTTTGACAATTTCTGAATGGGTAAGTGCTGAACCAGTAAGAGGTCTGAACCATTAAGTGCTGAACCAGTAAGAGATCTGAACCATTAAGAGCTAGTATATTGCTTAACTATTCAGAGGCAAATGTCTGATCAATTCAGATAAGAGGTCTTAATCATTCAGACTCTGTATAATACTTAACCATTCAGAGGCAAATCTCTTAACCATTCAGACATCTGAACCATTAAGAGGCTGAAACAAACAGTCTGAACCATTAAGTACTGAACCATTCAGACATCTGAACCATTAAGAGGCTGAAACAAACAGCTCCTTAGTGTTTGAATCATAAATCACTAAGCGTAATAAATGAAGCATTCATTGCTGTGATTGTGAATAAGCTAAGGCATAACTGGAAAATAAAAGGATTGTGATGCTAATGACCTGTTTTATAACAAAAGATTGTTGTATGTGTTATAGTCATATAACAGTCATTAATTCACAAGAAAAACACTATTTATGCACTATTTTTAACCCAACATTTAACATCATCCATACAATGAATGTCTATAAAAGGATGAAATTAATTAAATATGGTGTATCCCAAACAAGGGTGCATTTATAATACATTTTCGTGCGTGAGTATTTGTCCATTTTTATTTTTTTTACCAAAAGATTGTTTTATTTAATTAGTACTCAATATATAATTTATTTAATTATAAATTAAAATTGAAAATGGTTAACTGTACGTGAAAAGTCAAAATTAGACAAATAATCAGTGATGGAGATAGTAATATTTAAAAAATATTTCTAACAAATAAGGCTATTAAAAATAGTTTTTTAATTTAAGGGTTATGTTAAATTCACTCATAATTGGGCAAATTATGTCCATTTATAAGAATGGACAACTTTGCCCTTTCACTTCTTTCTTTTCAATTTCAAGCATTAAAGGTAAACTTATCTACTTGATAAAAAAAGAGTGGCTATAGCTAAATGTGAGATGAATTTAGCAATAATAAAATCTAAAAAAAAAAAACTAAGCTGTTTTTGATAGAGCAGCTCCTGGTTTTTTTTTGTTTTGAAGCTACGCCAACCAAACCAACGGATACAATCTCACGCATGGAACGTTACGAAATCGACGGTCAGGATTGATGCGATTGAAGTGGGCCCCGCAGGGGTCTTTTTTGACTATCGGAGGTCCAAGATTTTCTTAATTCCCACGTGTATTTAAACCTGGGATCACATGAGAAAACACTATTGTGTGAAGAAGACCCCAACCACAAAGTAAATAAATAAATAAATACCCTTTTTAATTTTCTTCTTCATCATTTTTTTTCTTGGCTCGCCGGGATTTCTCTCCGGCTGCCTTTTTCCGGCGATTACGTGCTGCAAGTCGTCTCCGGCAAGTTTTTTCCCTTTAAATACCATTTCATTCTATATATGGCATTATTCAATGAATATCATTATATGCTTATATGCATTATATATGTCTTAGTTTGTTTGTCTAATTTGAATTTTTGCACTCTAATTGGGCAAATTTAAACTTTGATGATCAATCGAATAAAAACTTTGTTACTCCGTAGTCATTAGAATAAATGAAAATAATTTAATTAATTAGTTAGATCTATCCTATAAAATATGTTTAAAAATATTTTTAATTTTATTAATAATATACAATAAAATACTAAAAGACTTTTTGTTCCAATGACACGAAGACAACTCTTTCAAATTTTCTTATGTTTTTAAAAACATTCATGCATTAAATTTAAGTTGCACTATGGACTATCTAGTAAATTAATAATAAAATAAATGCACATCTCATATGAGAAAGTCCATACATTTTTATACTCCTTATGAGAATCTAGCTTTTAAATTATCTTTATACTACATACATCTCAAAATAAGGTTCTCATTGGCTATTCACAAATCAAACTATATTTTTTCTTTATATATTTTTATTGATTGCTTAAAATAAAACTCTTTTGGTGAATTCTTTGATTTCATTTTCAAAAAATATATTCCAAAAATATTACGGGTAATTTTTTTAAATCTTACATCAATTTACAAGTAATTATAAAATAACTGCAATTAAATATTGTGAACCGAAGTAAAAATATTGATATGGGGAATATTATTTTGTATTTGTTCCTTTTGGAGAACATAGAAAAGGTTTATTTTTTTTTGTGTGGGATTATGGCATGCACATTTTAAATAAAAGAAAAATATCACATTGGAAATGTAAAAACACAAATTATTTGTTTTTTAATGCCAATTGTTCTCGGTGGGGGTTTGTGGTACGCATAGTTCAAATTTGCCTTCTTCTTTTGCCTAAATTTCATACAAGGGTTTCTTGTTCTAATGTAGTATCCAGCTTGGAGTCTAATTTGTTTTTTTTTTTGAATTAAAAAGGCTATATTTTTGTATTAATAAATGTTTTTCAATAAAAAATGTTCCCAAATAGGTTATGTGTAGAGCTGGCAAACGATCGGTCACGTCGGGTTCGGGTTCGATCACCTTGGGTTCAGGTTACTTTGGGTTCGGGTAACTTTGGGTTCGGGTTGAGAGCTACATGTTCATGACCCAATGACATCGTGTTCGGGTCGACCCGACGGGTTATGACTTTCATTTATTTTTTGAAATTTTAAATAATTTTTATGACCGATTATCAATATTATGAATATAAAAACTAAATATGCAGAAAATTTTGAAAAAGTAAGATAATTATGCGATATCATTAAAATTTTGTATGAAAATATAAAGTTATACATTAAAAATGAGTAGAAAGCAAAGAAATAAAATTAAAATCTTATTTTTATAACATTATATAACATATTAAAGCATATGATTTTGAAAAATTCGCACATTAGCGGGTTAGGTCGGGTTCGGGTTCGGTCAGGTTGGACCCATTTTTAACGGGTAATTTTGGGTTCGGTCAACTTCGGATTCGGTTAGAAAAACCTTTGTTCAAATCCCAGTATTTTAAGGTCGGGTCTTGGGTCAAAAACAGGTCGGGTCATTTTTTGGCAGGTCTAGTTATGTGCGTTAAATCAAAGGCTTCTTGGTGCGGGTTTATGGCATGCACATTTCAATTAAAAAAACATAGTTTGGGTTATTTCGGGTTTTTTCGTGTCCCCATTTAAAAGTTTAATAGGTCTTCAAAGTCGGTCCAAAACCCGTGATTTTCTAGGTCCAAAACGCCAAATTTTATCGATCCGTACTCCGTACATGTTTAGAAGATACGGAGTAATTGGTTATTAAGAATATTACGTAACAAATAGTCGTTTGCTAAAGAAGGAAAACAATTCAAGCCAATAATCCTGAAATTCCATTAGTATAAATAATAATAATTTAGTTCGATTTATTGTTCGAAAATGCTTTCAATATGTATTCTAGACGTATTAGGATTACGACTAGGAATATGATTAGGATTATCTTTCTTATTCTCATCTTTAAATATGTAGTAGGATTAGGATTACCCATATCCCCTTCCATATATATATATATATATATATATATATATATATATATATATATATATTGGTTCTGGTGAGAATGCGATCTTAGGAGAGAAATGAGAATGAATCTGGTGCTTTAGATTGTGAGATCTAAGGGTCAAGATTGCATCAAAATTAGATGCACCAAAATGGTTTGAAAATGCATCACGTCGAAATGCATCAAAATCCTTTGAAAATGCACTATCTCAAAATCTGAGCGCAAGATGCAATCTGAGCCGCACGATGCATCAGATCCAACGGCTAGATTTTATTCTCATTTCTCTCCACAAGGTGCATTCTCACAGGAACCGGCCCCTATATATATATATATATATATATATATATATATATATAGCTTTTATTTGTACTCATCAATTCATGGTAGAGAGAATCTGTAATCTGGTGAGAAAGTACTGATCAATAATTATTTTCTCTTCTGTTCGTGGAGGTTACTAACAAGTTGTTAGTAAACCACGTTAAATCTCTGTCTTTTTTGTAATTGTCGATTGTTCTGTTCATACTTTCTCGCGTATGCCATAACATTTATCGTGTAAAATATGTTTAAAAATATAGTATTTATTTATTTTTAAACATGTCGAGTCATTTTTTGCCTGATCTAGTTATGTGCATTAAATCAAAGGCTTCTTGGTACGGGTTAATGGCATGCACATTTCAATTAAAAAAACATAGTTTGGGTTATTTCGGGGTTTTTTGTGTCCCCATTTAAAATTTTAATAGGTCTTCAAAGTCGGTCCAAAACCCGTGATTTTCTAGGTCAAATTTCTGGTAAAAAACGCCAAATTTTGTCAAACCGTACTCCGTACATGTTTAGAAGATACAAAGTATTTGGTTATTAAGAATATTACTTAACAAATAGTCGTTTGCTAAAGAAGGAAAACAATTCAAGCCAATAATCCCGAAATTCCATTAGCATAAATAATACTCCGTAATAATTTAGTTCAATTTATTATTAGAAAATGCCTTAAATCTGTATTTTAGACGTATTAGGATTACGACTAGGAATATGATGGGAGAAAGACCCAAATAGGACTAAAAGTTTGAAAATATACCAAAATAGGACTTCCATGTTTTAATTCCCAAAATAGGATTTACATTACGAACCATGGTCATATTCATTACCAAAAAAGCATAGTAATTTGCACATGTACACTGCCACATTACCACAATGCAAGGTCACATTACCACAATGCAAAGTCCTATTCCGGGAAAAAAAACATGAAAGTCCTATTTTGGTACTTTTATCTATGTTTTAGTCCTATTTAGGATGATTTCTAGAATATGATTAGAATTATCTTTCCTATTCTCATCTTTATATATGTAGTAGAAATAAGATTACCCATATCCCCTTCCCTATATATAGCTTTTATTTGTACTCCTCAATTCATGGTAGAGAGAATCTATAATCTGATGAGAAAGTACTGATCAATAATTATTTTTTCTTCTGTTCGTGGAGGTTACTAACAAGTTGTTAGTAAACCGCGTTATATCCCTGTTTTTTTCGTTATAGTCGATTGTTCTGTTCATACATTCTCGCGTCTGCCATAACATTTATCGTGTAAAATATGTTTAAAAATATATTTAATTTTTTTAATAATACACAATAAAATAACAAAAGACTTTGTGTTCTAATGACACCAAGACAACTCTTTCAAATTTTATTATGTTATAAAAAACATAGTGCTCCTATCATGTACTCCCTCCGTTTTTTAAAACACTTCCTCTTTCATTTTTTTCACTTCCAACAAAACACTTCCACTTTCTATTAAAAAACCACTTTTACCCTTACTTTTTCATACCCTACCTATCACATCATACTTTATCTCTAATAATCTATCCATCACATCTTACTTTTACCTATCACATCAAGGGCAAAATTTGAAGTCAACTACAATTTAATACTTCCTTATTTTTACACAAAGTCAAAATAAGAACACTTTTTACAAACGGAGGGAGTATTAAGTTTAAGTTGCACTATGGACTATGTAGTAAATTAATAAGAAATTAAATGCACATCTCGTATGAGAATGTCCATACATTTTTATACTCTCTATGAGAATTTACCTTTTAAATTATCTTTATACTACTTACATCTCAAAATAAGGTTCTCATTAGCTATTGGATACTCAAACCTTATTTTTTTTCTTTATATATTTTTAATGATTGCTTAAAATAAAACTTTTTGGTGAATTCTTTGATTTAATTTTTAAAAATATTCCAAAAATTTTATAGGTAATTTTTTGTAATTTTACATCAATTTACGAGTAATTGAAAAATAACGGCAACTAAATATCATGAACCGAAGTGAAAATTTTGAGATGGGGAATATTATTTGGAAAATGCAAGAGTCACAAACATATAGTTCACAAACTTCACAAACATACTTTTTGTGGATTTTAAAATAAAATATCTTTTATTATTTTAGTGCATCTTATTTCTAGGAAAGTGCTGAAAAAGCAAGTTTGTGAATTTTGTGAACAGTTTGTTTGTGACTTAGCATTACTCATATTATTTTGCATTTGTTCCTTTTAGAGAACATAGAAAAGGTTTTTGTGTGTGGGATTATGGCATGCACATTTTAAATAAAAGAAAAATATCACATTGGAAATGTAAAAACACAAATTATTTGTTTTTTTAATGCCAAGTTGCCAACTGTTCTTGGTGGGGGTTTGTGGTACGCATAGTTCAAATTTGTCTTCTTCTTTTGCCTAAATTTCATACACGGGTTTTTTTTCTAATTTAGTCTCCATCGGGAGTCTAATTTGTTTTTTTAATTACAAAGGCTATTTTTGTATTATTAAATGTTTTTCAATAAAATAAACTGCCCAAATAGGTTATGTGCGTTAAATCAAAGGCTTGGTGTGGGTTTATGGCATACACACTCCATTAAAAAAAGAGTTTGGGTAAAAAACGCCGTGATTTTCTAGGTCAAATTTCTGGTAAAAAACGCCAAATTTTGCCGATCCGTACTCCGTACATGTTTAGAAGATACGGAGTATTTGGTTATTAAGATCATTACGTAACAAATAGTCGTTTGCTAAAAAAGGAAAATAATTCAAGCCAATAATCCCGAGATACGTTGGCGGACTTTCAATTTTTTTAATCTAAAAAAGCTAATTTAGACTTTCACGAGAGCTAAGTTTCACCGAGACATGGACAAGTGCTTATATAGAAACAAGGTCAGAAGCGTGATAAACGCCAATTTTTCAAAAAAAATAATAAAAGGTTTGGGTGTTAGGACGTTCTTAAATTCCCAAACAGGGACATTTAGGGAATGAGAACGGTACTTATTCAAAGAATCCGTGCAACTTAGCATGAGAGTTCTCAACATTCATTTATATAGACTAATGATGATCATCATGTTATACAATCCAGGTTCTTCACATATAAGTCATGAATGTGGGAAGAAGAATGGAGTTTGACAATAATCATTTCCATAATTATTCTTTAGTGAATAATGTGCCCATGAGACATTCAAGGAATGGCCTTAATGGTGGTTATCTGGGGTGGTGGTCCTACAAAACACAGGACAGTCCATTCACAAAGTGCACCAATCATCAATGGATTGGGAACTGCATGCCCACAAGAAATGGGCAACCCATGGCTCCTACAAACCTCAACTTAACATGTGAAAATGAGAGCAACATCATGCAAATGGAGCATCAATTCAAGTCCACAAGTCTTATGGGCAGTGAAAAAACCCGCAACGGAGAAAGCTCGTTGGCCCAGAAGAGCGCCCGAAGGAATTCGGGCGATCAAGTCATGATGAGGACGAACGAGTCCCCAAACAATCATTGTGTGTTCAAAGCAAAGATGGCGGGTGCTCGTAAGACTTCCCCTCAGAGCTTTCCTACAAATGTCAAAAACTTGCTGTCCACAGGTATCTTTGAAGGTGTGCCTGTGAAGTATGTATCATGGTCAAGGGAGGTAAATGATCAGATTCTCCTCTCTCTCAACTCTGTCATAAGATACTTGAACCAAATTACACTAAAAGATAAAATATCAAATCAATAATCAAATAAATTTGACTCAAGATCTTACAAACTCATTATTATTTGAGGAATTTACCTAAGTAACACTAAAACATAATGACTTTCCCTAAATAGCATCATATGTTTTTATTTTCTAATGTAGCATTTTTAGTCATTATTCATTATTCATTATTAAAATAAATGTTCATCATCACTGGACATTATTCCTCCTTCTAGACATTATTAAGTGCTATTTAGAGAATAAAAAAGTTTAAGTCCTAAATTGGGAAATGACTTACTCCCTCTGTCCCACAAAACTCTTCCCCTTTCTTTTTCCATCCGTCTCAAAAAAACACTTCTCTTTTCCTACTAAAAGTCACTTTTACCCCTATTAATTCTTAACATATCTACCATATCACACTTTTTCTCTATTAATCTATTCATCACATCCTACTTTATCCATCACATCAAAGGCATTTTTGAAAAGTCAACACCAAAATACATTCTCTTTAAATCCTTTAAAAGTCAAATTGGGAAGTTTTTAAGGGACGGAGGGAGTATGTTTTAGTGCTATTTTGTGCAAATATTTCTTATTATTTCTCAGATACTTTGACAATGTGTCTGTGTTTGCAGAAAACACTTAAAGGGATAATAAAAGGGACGAACTACCTTTGCGGGTGCGATCAGTGCAAGATGCAGAAGAGAGTGAGTGCTTTTGAATTCGAGCGCCATGCCGGGTGCGAAACAAAGCACCCGAATAGCCATATCTTCTTTCCCAATGGGAAGTCCATTTATTCCGTAGTCCAGGAGCTTAAGGGAGTCCCCCGAGAATCTCTGTTTCATGCCATCAAAACCGCCACCGGAACACCCATAAACATCAAGAACTTCCTTGCATGGAAAGGGATATAGCTAGTGTGTGTGTGTGTGTAAGTTGCATTGTTGTTGAAGGAAGCCTTCAAGTCTTTCTCATGGCATTCAAAAGTTGCATGCAAAAGACTCATTTATGAACTTTTTTCTTGTCCCAGCCTAGTGAAGTATTCAGCAATAAATAATTGAAAGTTGGAACATCATTTAGTAAAAGATATCGTAAGAAATTAATTAATACCGAGTAATATGAAAGAGACAAATAGAAATTCTAAGCAATGTTAATAGTTCATGTTCAGCAAAAATGAGCAGGAATAGTGTGTTTCACATATAACCAGTTGGTAAACCAAAAACCAAGGAATTGCATTCAATTTCATAAATTGATTCTTAACAAAATGTACGGTGTCACATTACCACAGTGCGAAGTCCTATTTTGAGAAAAAAAACATACAAGTTCTATTTTGATATTTTTCTCTATGTTTTAGTCCTATTTAATTAGAGTGATTTTTATTTACTCTAATGTTTTCAAAGAACAACTCTCCATGAGAGTAGTGAACATCAAGATCTCATTATCATATAAGGAAAGAAAAAATGTTTTCCACATTTAATGCAATTCAGTCTTGATTTTTCCTACTCTAATATTCTCCAGAGAAATCCTGAAATAATTCCAAAAAATATATGAAAGTTTGGTCAAATTCTAAACGAGATTCTAATCATAAAGTACAAAGCATAATTAATGTAGTGTCCTCGAGCATAGGAAACCGCAAAGAGAGCCAAAGGAAAAAGAGAGGTTTGTATGTAGAATTGTTATTATTGATAGTCAAAATGTTATGTTACATATTGTGAAAGTCAATCGAGAGATTAGTTTTAAGACGAAAGAAGTATACATTAATGTTTTACTCAAGTAGACGTACTTAAAAGAAAAGCACTTCTGTTTCAACGTAGTATTATACATGTCCGGATTTTCTTTCTTCTTTGCGTAAATTTCAATCACACAGTTTTCGTTTTATTACCAAAGGTATCCTTCTTGGATTGATGAAGTGATATTATCCGAGACACTTTAATAGTAATACTAAACTTTTTATTATCAAAATTATAATGTCATTGACACTCATCCCCTGTTTAAAGAGTCAAACTCCTTTTTAACCAATAGAACCCTTGATCTTTTTTAAATTTAGATGTGGCATGTGTAGTTTTCCACAAACTAAGTTGACAAAAGGTGAAGTTGGGTATTTCTGAAAATTTGAAATTCTAGGGATGAAATTGAAAAAGTTTGGGGGGGATCAATTCAGGCCGAACTGGGGTAGGCAGGGGAAGAATGGTTTACCGGAGAGTTAAAAGGGATAAGAACTATCATATTTACAAACAGAACACCGTAGATGCTATAATTGGAGCCGGTCTCAGCCGTTGACACTCAAAATGACACTTAAAGTGAGTATCAACAGAAGCAAATAGACTTTTTGAAAACCAGGGCAAATAGACTTAATTGTACGTATGTTTCATTTGTGCATGAAGAAGTTGAACATATTTAGAGATTTGAGTTTATTTAACCAGTCAAATAGTGAAAGAATCCATACAAAGTTAACAATTCATATTCAGCACAAATGGGAAGCAATATTGTTTTATTTTACATATCAAAGCAGCCATGGAAAATGCTGGCAAACCACAAATCAAGGAGATGCATTCAAACTTCATAACGATCTAAAAAAGAATATATTAAGGTCCCGTTTGGTACATGGAATTCAAACTATGGAATTGGAATTGGAGACTTCAATTCTAATTCTGGTGTTTGGTAGCACAAAAATTATGTGGATTTGGAATTGATAGTGCAAAAAATGAATTGAAATTGACAGAATTCAATTTTATGGAATTGAATCCTATGGAATTTCAATTCCAATTCCACCAATTCCCGACCCTAAACGTAAACGATTTCTGCATTTGAAGCGGCCCGAAGTGAAAGCAAAAGCTTCCGCTTGTTTTCCATCTCTGTGTTGGAGTGGTATTGTCTGCATTGAAAAATGGCAACCTTCTCAAGTGTTGGAAAGAGGGCAACAAGCCACTCGAAGAAACACATTTCGTGCATTGACCCTTTGAACAAGCAAAATATTTTCAACGTACGAACGTTTCTGCATCTTCGTGCCACAATGTCGATTGAGTGTTTGAGCAAGTCGTCGTCTATAGAAGTATCCGCTGCGCGTAACTTTTAAAAGACATTGAAAGGGAAAAGAAATGCCAATTTCGTTCAGCGTTTACAAAATACCCTATCCATTATGAAATGTAAAACAATGATGGAAACAATTCACTTTCAAAGAACAACTACCAATGAAAGTAAAAATTACCTTTACATCAAGTTTGCATAGCTTTGGGCACATCTGCACCAAATGAATGAACGCAGAGATATTATTATAACACGAACTTAACTGCAAGCTCAGCTCCAAGTATTCCACATTTAATGCAGTTTGGTCTTGTCTACTTAGTCTTTTAGCAAAATGCTTGAAGAAACCACATACAATGAAACGTTAAACGTGTCTAAAAGTTATTCTAAACAATATGTAATAATCTCTGAGCAGAAGGATTCAGAAGTGTTTAATGTACCTTGAGGGCGGAGGATCGCATGAGATTAAGAGAAGAGATGGGTTTCAAATCCAAGTTAACCGGAAGAAGATGATCAGCCGAGGAAGTTATTTTTAAGCTTCTGAGTTTTGGGACCGTAATCTTAAAACCAGAAATGTTTCCACACGTGAGACTCTCAAGCTTCGGAAGATTCACAGTAGAACCTACATGGTTTCTACTGCCAAACCGAGCGTATCCCAAATGAAGCGAAGTGACGTTTGGGAATATACAAGGGGCATTTATTGGTTCAATTAACACGCCGTGAAGATCCAACTTCTTTAGTGTTAGGCAAGAAAATATGCAATCTGGCAGTAGAATTATGTTGTACCCAAAAGACAGGACAACTTCTTCAATGCCATTTTGTGTGAGAAATAGTAACCATTGATCCAACTCGAACAACCTGTCTCTATGTCTCTGGATATTATTAGAATGAAAAGCAAAGACAAATGTTCGGATATGCCCAATGTGCTTCGTTAGAATTTGGTTCACCACATAAAAGGCTGCCTCTGCAATGTAATGGTCACGAATGTAACAGAAGAACTCGTGATCAAAGTTGAGCTGCGAAAGACTTAACCAAACATCTCTCCAAACCGTTGACAAGATGGCAATTCTAGCAGCTTCTTGAATTGGCAAGAATCCCAAAACACGGTCAAGTACAACACATGGAAGTTCACTGATTCTATCTCTCATTGCCATAGCACAATAGATCACTATATATCATCAGACAAATGAAACAAAGAATTAAAAGAAATCAAAGAACATTCTGAAAATCATAAATTTAGCACCAATGGCTGGATTGTAAATGTAAACTACAAGCATGGGTAAAAACATGTTCGAATTTTCATGCTCAATTTCTAGCATATGGAATCGTAACAAACAATACTCCTAGGGGTAACACCACGGTTGACTCCTCGGATTACAGTCATTGTTTGTGAGTTTTTATGCACAGACAATAACCTCAAATTAAATCGTTGTTAGTGAGTTTTTATACACAGATAATAATCTTCTGTGAGCACACATAGTTCAAATACAATTATCGCCTGTGCGGGTACAAATTCACCGACGATTATCATCCGTGGTGTTATTATATTCTAGCATTTTGGTCTTTTTAAATACTTTGTCAACTTATCGGGACAGACATGAGATTTTAAAGAGCTAAATAATAATGAAACTTATACTAAAATAAAACTTCTCCCGTTTTATTCCAATATGAGGGCTGACACTTTGATATGTGCCTAAATTTGCACTATCTTTGGATATTTTACAAATCCTTTTGATATTATTTGACATTATAAATCCTATTTTTGTATAAAAACATTGAACATCCTATTTTTGTACGTGGAATTTCTAAATAGAATAGCAAAAATAATACTTAACCTTAAAAATACCCTTAAACTTACAAAGTTATAGTCGCCAAGAATTGGCAAGAAGAGATCTGAAAGTCACTTCTCCCAGAAGAGATTAAATGAACAAAAGAGATATTTAAATGTATGCGTCTAACGAATCACCCAAAAGAATTAAGAAAAAGTTTTACCCCATTAATAGGGTCAGAAATCTTAGAATTGGGTTTACTTTTTTTAAGGTAATTTAAAACAAACGTTAAATTAGAAAACATCGGTACAAGAGGGTAAATTCCCGCGACCCCGACAACACATTAACCTTTCTAGCTAAAGAATGGACTATAACATTACCCGAACAATGAACAAAAGAAATAGAGATAGAATAAGCTTTACATTGCTTAAAAAGGAAATGGCAAATAACTTAGTATTCATTCTCGAACAAAATAGAACTCATACCAGGTGAAGACTTAGCAACCCTTTCTTTTTTCTCCTACCCACCCGACCAGAGCAGCAGGCTAGGGTTTTCATCCATCAGACTGGAGGACGGAGTACTGGTTCTGTGGCTGACTTCTTCTTCCTCTCATTTGTTGGACAATGATTCTTGTTCTTCGATCAGACTAATCTTCGTGGATCTAATTGCATGTTGTTTCAGATACAGCCTGTTCGGTAGAATTTGCTGAGTTTTTAAGCCTTGTTTAGTAGCCTATATCATAAGCAATATATACCGTACAACCTGTTGTACAGTTAATTGAATGCTCATTTTTGAGCAAATTAATACTCATTATCGTATAACTCAATACTCATTTTTTTCTGCATTTTCTCTCTATTCTTGTTCCTATCATTTTTTTCTTCTTATTTTTTCCCCCTCATTTTCTTATAATATTTAAAACAAAACGTAAGAGCTTGTTCTTTAATGCTTAAACTCTAAACTTCATGTTCCTTCCGGTTTCTTCCCGTTCCTTTCAGTTTTTTCTAGTTTCTTCCAACTATTCTCATTTTCTTCAAACTCTTTCTACTCTCAACTAATTATTCTAAAAACAATATATTTTTAATATGATGATGATTGTTATTACAAAAATTTTGTTCATAACTTTAATTTATAAATTATTTCAATTTTCTCATCTCACTATTTTTATGATTCACACTTATTATTATTATTTTTTTCTTCAACTTATTAATATGAATAAGACAATTTTTTATATATTGATCTACATGATAAAATAGGAAAACATCAATATTTTAAACTATAATAAAAAATTATGGATAAAATAGTACGGAGTAATATAGAATGTTTTATTAATCTAAATTTATATAAGAAAAACATCAATATTTTAATCTAAAATATAATAATAGAATGGGGGGGGAGAGTACTACATTATGAAAACCAAGGGAGAACTACATTTTGAAAAAGAAAAACGACCCAAAACGTGTAAAAAACAAATTCAGATAACAAAGAATATAGCTAATAATTAAAATACAACTAACAAAAAATTAATACTTTCATTTATTTAACCTACTTTTTACTGCCTCTAATATGTAAAATATTACGCATATAAACATAACACTACTTTTTTATCAAAGAATATAGCTAATAATTAAAATACAGCTAACAAAAATTAATACTTTCATTTATTTGATCTACTTTTACTAATCTACTTTTTAAAATTTAGCATTTATGCTAACTTTATATTCTAATTATTATTTTTTTCAAAAGTAATTTTTTTGCATATGAAAAATAAAAAAATTAATCTTAAAGGCATTTATTAAGATAATGTGATAATTATAAAATAATAATAATAATAATAATAATAATAATAATTATTATTATTATAATAATAATAATCTATGACAACAAGAAATAGAATGAGAATAATATAAAAATACATTAAAATAAATTTTTTAATTTTTTTTAGATTTATCAAGTTTTTCTAGTTTCATCTAATTATTTTCTAGTTATTTCCAATTTCTACTAGTTTTTTACAGTTTCTTGAAATATAGTGTCATTACCTTGGTCCTCTTACTTGTCACGGCAAGTCGGCAAGTTATATACCAACTAAGCAAGAATTTATTTTGTTTCATATTTGTTCAAAGTGGTATATACTCTGTAATTAAAAAACAAATATTCATTAAAAGTATTTTTTGTTAAAACTCTGAAGAATATGATGTTATATAACTAGGATTCAAACGCTTAAAAAACAATTGATACTAATGCGCAGAACGTGTCGCGAAAAAAATCATTAAATTTTTTTTAGAAAATATTAGAAAAAACATATGAAAAATAAAAAAATCTAATTGTACTAATCAAATAAATTAAATTAATTGTAACTTCAAGCAAACATCATAATTTTTATGTATAGACAAAAAGAGTATCATTTTATTATTTTATATATATATATATATATATATATATATATAGATTTTGGTTCTGGTGAGAATGCAATCTTAGGAGAGAAATGAGAATGAATCTGGTGCTTTAGATTGTGAGATCTAAGGGTCAAGATTTCATCAAAATTAGATGCACCAAAATGGTGCGAAAATGCATCACGTCGAAATGCACCATAAACCTTCGAAAATGCACTATCTCAAAATCTGAGCGCAAGATGCAATCTAAGCCGCACGATGCATCAGATCCGACGATTAGATTTTATTCTATATATATATATATATATATATATATATATATATATATATATATATAATTTTTTAAAATATACTGAACTACGGGTTCGAGTAGTGAATTAGTAAATCTATACTTTGATCGATTCAGTCACTGGTCTAGTTTTGAAAAAACTATGGTCATTACCATATATGTTTACATTTTTCTTTAATTAAGCATTTAAGCACAATAGGAAAGTCCTAAGCTTTTCAACCTAAATTAAATTTTGTGCAAAAACATATGGAATGAGGAAGACTTTTTTTTCTTCTAAAAAAGTACAAAAAGGAATCGTCTCCCGCTTCCACATAGTGGGAAACAGTGGAATCTGATTCGCAGCCGCCGTTGAATTCGCATCACATTTCCTCACGATCTTATTTTACGGTCAGTCTCGACGGTAATCGACTCTCTCTCTCTGCAATCTTCTTTCATCGATATGTATGCATACGGTAAGTCTAATAATAGTAGATTTCGATTTGGTATTTAATTTTTATTTCTGATAATTAGCACTTTATTACTCGGATTTTCATCCGGTTTCTTTTCTCGTGTATTTTTTTGTTCGATCAATATGTTCTTTGCGTTCTGACTTTGATCATCGCGTTAGAATTTTAGATCGACGTGTAAATTTACTGGAGATTTAATATTTTCGGCTGAAAGTGGCATTCATTTCAGAACTTTGATGGGAAATTGTTCAATGTTTGGATTGGAATCTATAGATATGTTTTGATACAATAAGGTTGGCTTGATTATACACTTAAAGATTTATAGGCATGAATTTGGTTGACTTGCCCGTGCGGTGTGCCCTACTTACTTTTTTTATTGGAGTGTTACTGAATTCTTTACTTCTCGTTTATTCTTGTTCTTTTGCAAGCTTATAGTGTTGGAGAATTTTGAAATATTTCAACTTATAATTATTTACTAAATCCGTATTATTGTATTAAGTTTGACTATTCGGTATTTCGATTGATATTTTGTAAACACTTACTGATTTTGATTTTTGATTGATGTCTCTGTATTTATATTGATACGTTTTGTGAGCTTGATATAGAGATGCAATTAATGGTTTGTTTGGGCTGAAGTTTTGTTGTAATTGTGCACAACCATTTCTTCTGTGTTCAACCATGGTTTTGATTGATTGGTTATGTTACTTAATGTTGCTTAAGTTCTGAATTTTAATGATTTAGTTGTTCTTTAGCAACACTTTTGTATAATATTCTTGATTTTGTTTGAAATCTCAATTGTAAATGTGATATGCTTGGCTAGGTTTTTGGGGAGATATATTGAGAGTTTACTGGTGCTGAAATTTGTTCGAGAGAGGATAATTCAAGAATATTTAGTGCTGAGAATTGATTGATCAGAATGGTGTGGTTTAGAGCAGGGTCAAGCGTTGCTAAATTAGCTGTTAGGAGAGCTATATCACAACGTTGTTTACCTATTACTGGGACTCGTATCTTTCCACAGCATAGTAGATATTTTCATTCAACTTCTCTCAGGCCCAAGGCTAAGACTGCTCCTATCCCAAGGGCTGTACCTCTCTCCAAGTTGACTGATAACTTCTTAGATGGGACAAGCAGTGTGTATCTTGAGGAGCTTCAGCGAGCATGGGAGCAAGATCCAAACAGCGTGGATGAGTCATGGGATAACTTTTTCAGGAATTTTGTTGGCCAGGCCACCACATCTCCAGGGATTTCTGGCCAAACAATTCAAGAGAGCATGAACCTCTTATTGCTTGTGAGGGCTTATCAGGTCAATGGTCACATGAAAGCTAAACTAGACCCTTTGAGTTTAGAAGAGAGACAAATCCCAGACGATCTAGATCCTGCTTCTTATGGGTTCACTGAAGCTGATCTTGACCGTGAATTTTTTCTTGGTGTTTGGAGCATGTCTGGCTTCTTGTCTGAAAACCGCCCTGTTCAGACTTTGAGAGCCATATTGACACGACTTGAGCAGGCTTATTGTGGAAGTATTGGTTATGAGTACATGCACATTTCTGACCGTGAGAAATGCAATTGGTTGAGGGACAAAATTGAGACTCCAACAACAACGGAATACGGTCGTGAGCGGCGGGTGGTTATGCTTGATAGGCTGATGTGGAGTACTCTGTTTGAGAACTTCTTGGCTACCAAGTGGACAGCTGCAAAGAGGTTTGGCCTGGAAGGCTGTGAAACTTTGATTCCTGGAATGAAGGAGATGTTTGATAGGGCTGCAGATCTAGGTGTAGAAAGCATAGTCATTGGGATGTCACATAGAGGAAGGTTAAATGTTCTAGGTAATGTTGTCAGGAAGCCACTCCGACAGATCTTTAACGAGTTTAGTGGTGGTACAAAACCTGTTGGTGAAGCTGGTTATGTAGGAACTGGTGATGTCAAGTATCACTTGGGCACTTCATATGATCGTCCAACAAGAGGTGGGAAAAGAATCCACCTGTCATTGGTTGCAAACCCAAGCCACTTAGAAGCTGTGGACCCAGTTGTAGTTGGAAAAACTAGAGCAAAACAATATTATACTAATGATGTTGATAGGACAAAGAACTTGGGTATTCTAGTTCATGGTGATGGAAGCTTTGCAGGTCAAGGGGTTGTCTACGAGACGTTGCATCTCAGTGCTCTTCCAAACTATACGACCGGTGGAACCATACACATTGTTGTCAATAACCAAGTGGCCTTTACTACTGATCCAAGGTCCGGAAGATCTTCTCAATACTGTACTGATGTTGCCAAAGCCTTGAGTGCCCCAATCTTTCATGTAAATGGTGATGATGTTGAGGCTGTAGCTCATGTTTGTGAACTTGCTGCAGAGTGGCGTCAAACATTTCACTCGGATGTTGTCGTTGATATCGTTTGCTATAGGCGATTTGGGCACAATGAAATTGATGAACCTTTCTTTACTCAACCAAAAATGTACAAGGTATATGGATCATGTTTACATTGTAATTCTTCATAATTTACAATTTTACATAAGAATCATTTTCAAATGACGTCAAGGTAGACCAATTTTTGCATTGAAGTCTAGCTTTTGATTGTTTGATATTATACTCTGGTTTTAGCATCAATGATAGAAATCCAGTTTTATAGTTAAGTGCTTTTATAGGTCATTCGAAATCATCCATCAGCATTAGAGATCTACCAAAAGAAACTTCTTGAGACTGGTAATGTGGGAAAGGAGGAAATTGAAAAGATACATAATAAAATCAATACAATCCTCAATGAGGAGTTTGTTGCTAGCAAAGACTATGTTACACAGAAGAGAGACTGGCTTTCTGCGTTTTGGTCTGGATTCAAGTCCCCTGAACAGCTTTCACGTATTCGAAATACAGGGTAAGTTTTCTACAACTATAATAATTATTTTTCAATCGCAGTCCCCTTGACCAAATACAGGGTATTTGTTCCCTAACTTAAGGTATAACCCTGGTTTTTTTCCAATTTGTGTATAAATCTGCTTGATGTAACATTTTGCACCATATGAAAATTTAATTACCAACCAGTCTTTTAAACTTGCAATCTGAGGTTCCTCCCATGTTCTTGTTCATAGCGTAAAACCCGAGATCCTGAAAAATGTTGGAAAAGCGATCACCACCCTTCCAGAAAATTTTAAGCCACATAGAGCAGTAAAAAGGATTTTTGATGACCGCAAGAAGATGATTGAAACCGGAGAAGGTGTTGATTGGGCACTAGGGGAAGCACTTGCTTTTGCTACACTGCTTGTGGAAGGAAACCATGTAAGGTTGAGTGGTCAGGATGTTGAAAGAGGCACTTTTAGTCACAGACATTCTGTTCTCCATGATCAAGAGACAGGTGAGAAGTATTGTCCTTTGGATCATGTCATGATGAACCAGAATGAAGAGATGTTCACCGTAAGCAACAGGCAAGTCTGATTGCATGTTTTCAAATCCATTATACAGATGAATATTCCACCAAACTTGTAAATGTTCTTTGCGAAGAGAGAATGATTTGTTATGTGGAAATCATTGATCTGTACAAAATGAGTGATATTTAAAGCTAGTTGATGAGCTAAATGATGACCAAATAGATTATGTAATTGATGAGCTAATAGACGATGGAATGTATTCTAGAAGTCTTCATATTTCTACACCCTTGTTATAAATGCCATGCTTGTTGAAAATATAATCAATCTGGGACCTTGAAAATATAATCAATCTTGTAGTAATGCAGCGAAACACAATTTTTTTCTCCAAACAAGTGACAAATCCACTTCAATGTATTCCTTTCATGAAAAATATGAATCACTGTTCGGTTTCGAATATGATTGCTATTTATGTTGTGGAAAAAATTATGTGTTAAGGTTGATTTGTACAAAATTTGCGAGGTGATGATGTTATGTGTTCTAGATACCTTTACACATTTCTACTTGCAAATGAGTTTTGTTTTTAGGTGGGACACACTAGAGTTTTAGGTTGCCAAAGCTATACTTTGTGACTCAAAGGATAAGAACATCAGATTCATGCTAAATTTGTATTTTCATTTACTGTTGTTGTCTTATTAAAGTTAACAATTGTGTTGTCATATTGTTGCAATTACTGCACTTTCCGTGAGAACACCTACTTATTTAATAAGAATGGGGTTCTTTTGTTTTTATCCTTCTGAACTTCGATTGGAGTGAATGGAGTCATTGCTTTGTTTGCAAGTATGCAGCATCATTAACAAACATATGTTGAAACCAAATTTTGGGTCCTTTCACCTTTGGCTCTTGTCCTTTTCACTTTGTGTTGGTTTCTCTTTGTATTGATACACAACACTCTTACATATCCCAAATATTTGTTTTATTTTCCAAACAGCTCTCTTTCAGAATTTGGTGTCCTGGGATTTGAATTGGGGTATTCAATGGAAAATCCAAATTCGTTGGTGCTATGGGAAGCCCAATTTGGTGATTTTTCCAATGGAGCTCAAGTGATTTTTGACCAGTTTTTGAGCAGTGGAGAGGCAAAGTGGCTGCGTCAGACAGGATTAGTTGTGCTTTTACCACATGGTTATGATGGCCAAGGCCCTGAGCATTCCAGTGCACGTTTGGAACGCTTTCTTCAGGTATTGTCATATTGATTTTTCTTCCCCTGAAGTATCATTTTTCTAACATCTCCATAACGTGGAATCAACTTATGATGATGCGGTATATAATATTATCTGATTATTCCACTTCATAAGAATGCTGCGACTGGAAGGCGCACTTGGAGTGATACATTGTGAGTTGTGACTGTGCTTTTTCCCTGGCTACTTGGGATTAATTTGCTAACTGTGATAATGATTAGATCTACTTATAGTGAAGCTTATCTAAGTATGCCACAAAATTTAGTGGCTGTGCTAGTCAAAGTATGCCTTGTTATCATGTAGTTTGTGCATCCCTTTGTTCTAAGGAGATGGTACACTAGATACACATGTTTAGTGTTCTAAATGGGCTAGGTGGACCATAGAAAATAGACTAGGACCAAGTGTCTAGGACTGGTTGTGAGACAAAGTAAGAAAACCTTGGCCTATTGGCGAGCCAAGATAAGAATTGGAGGCGGTCAATGGTGGCCTAGCACCTAGGCGGTTTAGAACACTGAGAGATACATGATATGAATACACAATTGCTTTGTAGATAAGTGAATCATAAAGTTCTTGTCAATCTTTCAAATTCCAGTAATAGTTATTCCGTAATTGCAGTATATGTGTACCACATTAATCTTGTATGGGTGACCCCCTTTAATTTCAGTTTCTCTATCTGGCCCTAACTAACTTGTTGTTACAATAAAGCCTGGATTTTTTCAAATGCATTGACATGTAGTATCTTTCGGCAGATGAGTGATGATAATCCGTACGTTATCCCTGAGATGGACTCGACCCTACGGACACAGATTCAAGAATGCAATTGGCAGGTGGTGAATGTTACTACTCCTGCCAACTATTTCCATGTGCTGAGACGCCAAGTAAGTGGAGACTAGAACTTGGACCTGACGTTAATAAGTGCCATTCAATTTCTGATATAATGTATTATCCTTTTCCAGATTCATAGGGACTTCCGTAAACCTCTCATCGTGATGTCTCCAAAGAACTTGCTTCGTCACAAAGACTGCAAATCAAACCTATCCGAGTTTGATGATGAACAAGGGCATCCTGGTTTTGACAAACAAGGCACCAGATTTAAGCGCCTTATCAAGGATCAGAATGACCATTCTGATCTGGAGGAGGGCATTCGGCGTTTGATCCTTTGCTCGGGAAAGGTATGTAAAGTTGAAAATTGCTTCGTTACCTTTCTTGTCTACATAGACGAGCCATGAGCGCACATACATGCTCATGTCTGTGTGAACAAAAATGGGGTGGAGGAAAGGTTGGGGCAAGGTAACACTACTCATGTAAAGTTTTAGTTACGTTTTTTGTTTGAATTTAGCTAGGGGTACACCAACATTGGGGTACCCCAAGTGTACACTAAGCCAACACAGACACACAGACACAAAGTGTCTGTGTTGCACAGACATTTTGTGTCTGTGTGTGTCTGTGTTGGCTTGGTGTACACTTGGGGTACCCCATGTTGGTGTACCCCTAGCATTGCCCTTTTTGTTTACCTAAGCAAAAATTTCAGCTATATTAAACTCTCTCCATTCCAAAAAAAAGTCTTGTTTCATAACATTTTGTTGTCATAAAAAAATGTCAATTACAAAAATCTAATTTTTGGTGGATTAAATAATCTAACTTTCGTTGGATACAATATAATTCCCCCCCCCCCCCAAAAAGGTGTTCCACACAAGATAAATATCTATAGTTTAAAAAAAACAATTTTTAATAATTTGCAAGAATGGCAACTTATTAAAATCAGATGTTATGAAGGAACAAAGCCTGTTTTAGTTTTTTTTTTTGGGGGGGGGGTCCGCTAAATAAATTTAGAATTTATTAAATCATACTACTAATTAATTGTTGAAGATCACAAAAAAATCATGACAAAATGTGTGATTTCAATTACTGATATATTTATATAAACTTATACGTGATTTCTTGTACATTTGTTTGCAGGTGTATTACGAGCTTGACGAGGAGAGAAAGAAGGTTGGAGGAAAAGATGTTGCTATTTGTAGGGTTGAGCAGCTTTGTCCTTTCCCATATAACCTCATCCAGCGTGAATTGAAGCGATATCCAAGTTTGTCATCCTTCTCTGTTTTTTATATCTCTTATGTGCATAATTTTCTCTCCGAAGTGTTATTTAGTGCACGTTTAAGGTGTGGAGGTTTTTTTAACTTATTGGATTTATGAGTCAGAGTTTCTACCAAACACTTGCGAATTTGGCTACATGGGTTAAATCGGCTGACAATACGAAACATAGTTATCCATTACTTCTTTGACTGAAATGGATAACATGTAAGCAAATGACACTTTTATCCTTTTTCTCAGATATTTGGTGTAGAATGGTAATAGGAGGGAGTTGGGTGTAGAGGGGTGCCTTTCTAAGTGTTTATTTGTGTCTTCTTATTTACTATTCTTTCTCCATAGCTGTATTACCTTCACTCTTCATCTTATACTCTCTTTGTCACATAAAAACATTACCCTTTTTCCAGTGTTTGACGCCCCAAAAACACTTCTCACATACTTTATTTCCTTTTTAATTAATGAACATACGTCTTACAAGATTTCTCTCATCAATAAATTCTAACCAGGCCTTTTTCATTTTTCAACAACTTTCTTAAACTTCGTGAGAGTCAAAATAGGTAAAGTTCTTTGGGGAAGAGGAGGCATCTGATCGTCCTAACTCGATTTTTATGTGGCCGTGGTTGTTACAAAATGTATTCTAAAATGTTCTCTATATAGTTCAACCCCCGCGGAGCCAAACCAGCCCTTTCAAACCATTTCATTGATATACTAACTAATGTTGTCTTGATTTGATCACACAGAGGCAGAGATCGTGTGGTGCCAGGAAGAGCCTATGAACATGGGGGCATATAATTACATCGCGCCACGCCTTTGTACTGCAATGAAAAGCCTTGGGAGAGGCAATATGGATGACATCAAATATGTGGGTCGCGCTCCCTCGGCCGCCACTGCCACCGGTTTCTATCAGGTTCATGTTAAAGAGCAGTCGGAGATCGTGCAGAAAGCCTTGCAGCCTGATCCTATCAACCGTCCCTTATAAGGGACGCCGATGATTCATCCCATGTGCGTGATTCATAAACTTGGTATTCTTCTTGCTTTCAAAAAAGAATTTTTTTTCTCCGGGAAACCTGACCAATTTTTTCTCTTGATTCTTCCATGTCATAAGCAATGTTCTTTTTTTTTTTCAAAAAAAAATATATGCCAATATCCCAATTTTCGCACATTTTGTGCTTTCAGTTCTAGGTTTGTATTTCTCATCAGTAATTCAAAGTTTTATAAATATAGAGGTTAATGGTCTCTGCTTCACCGGCATCACTGTGAAGTGGGACCATTAAGCTTTTACACGAGCAAATTTGTTGAAGAGAAATATGAAATTTCGGATGGTTAGTATGAAATGTGGGAACTTTTTGGCATGATTTTGTTTTTAATACATCTTTGAGTATACTTAATAATGCACATTGAATAAAGGTGTAATGAGCTTCTTCCCCAAACGGTGATACACGTGACAGGTCTTTCTTCATATCAGATTTATTTTAAGATTTATTTTATCTGTTCTCTGTTGTGCTCAATCGAAAAAGTTACAGATAGCCATATAGACATTGATACTTGTCCTTCAACCTTGAGGGTAATTTAGTATTCTCTTTGTTCAAATTCATTGTACATGAGTCAACTTTTATTTACTTTTTAGCCTATTTTTGTTATTTGGTTGATAAAATACCCTGTAATGGAGTTATGTCATCTCGTGTTGAATTTTTAATGCAGTATTAAAGTATATACCCTTTTGTTGCACAAAACACTTTCCCTTGCACTTTTTTTCCAAAAAAAAATATTTCAATCGGGGCTAAAAAGATATAAATGACATAGCTTTTTCAAAATCAATTTTTAACCTACTCCAAGTCTCCATGTCCTCTCCATTTTGACATTTTTCATTGTCATCGGCTCATTTTAGTCAAACTTGTATAGCATGTCTCTCAAAGTCAAAAAAAGGAAAAGTTTTGTGGGCTAAGGCCTCGTTTTGTTGGACTAATTAGATTTTTGAAGATCTGATTTGATTGCATTTATAATTAAAGTTTATCTTTAATCTTTATAAAGAGAATAAGTGAAAGGGTGAAATTAGTTATTTCTTATAAATGGGGTAGACTTAGCTATATTGTGGATATATTTAGCACTGCCTTTTAAGTTACTCCCTCTGTCCCATTTTAAATTGTCTGTTTGTTTTTTTTCTCCGTCCTAAAATAAGTTGTCTGTTACTTGTTTTCGTAAACTTTTAAGAGTAAAATACCTAAACTACCCCTAAAATTAGTCACTCTTCACCACCTTATCTTCTTATTCATTGTCAATCCTTCTAAAAAATAATGGCAATTTTGAAAAATCAATTCTATTTTTTCTTTTCCTTAAATATGCCCAAAAATCAAAACGAGCAATTTAAAACGGGACGGAGGGAGTATTTCTTAAAAGTGAGATTTATAAAACAAAAAACGGAGTAATAAACATGTACTCCGTAACTACTTGCTTTTGTGATGTGAAATAAATCAAGTTTAAAGAGTGTAACTACTTTAATAAAAGATGAGTCTCATCCCCGAGGATTTCTCACACCTGACTGAACGATCGCTGAAAGGAGGTATATTGAATTTTGATCGCATATTGGTAGCAGGAAGTAGCGTATGCACCTGTTACATGCAGATACTTATGTCCTTCCAATTTTCCAATTATGTAAAAGAACATAGTTTAACTTCTATTATAATTGGAAGAAATACTCCGTACCAAAGTAGAATTAAAACATAGAAAAGAACTAAAATGGGACTCCCATGCATGCTTTTTCTCCACAATAAGGTCAAAGTTTTTTCTTTTTAAAATTGTGTCAGTCCGTTAAAAAATCCATATTGATCCATTTCTCATCATCTCAGTGTCACTAACAATGTCAGTCGAAACAATAATGCCAAAGAAGACAATAATGCCAAAGAAGTTATTGTAGATGGGCACAAATGACATTGAGTAATGCCAAGCATGCTTATACATAATAGTATACTCCGATCTCTCTGTCTCAAAATTATCTTCCGAGCTTGACTTAACACAATTTTTAATAAAGTAAAATATTGGTGATTATAGTTTGTGTAGAGAATAGAGAATTTATATGGACCACATATTTGTTTCTTTAAAAAGAAAGATGAAGAAAATTTCGGGGACAATCCAAATAATAGGATGACCTCACAGTAGAAAATATGGTCCACTTCCTTTGACTATTGCAATAACTGTGTGTTATATTTAGGTATTGCTATATTCACCCCATTGTGGTTTAATCACTCCATTTTTGGTTAAAAGGATAATTTTAGCCTTGAAAATCCAAAGAATGATAAGGAGTATTAATTAGATGATAGCCAACGTAATATTTAATGATTAATTTATTCATTTAGAATAAATAATGAAGCAAATTTAGACATATAACATGAGATTAGGAGTGGATATAACAAGACCGAGTCTTATATTAAGAATAAAAATATATCACTCATATTTTGAAAATAAAAGATACTCCATATATTTTGACCTTAAGAAGGTAGATTTCTTATGGTGATAATTATCATTTTTGCTAATCATGCATATTTCTTAAATTTTAGAAAATATTTATTTCAACAATTGAAAAATATTTATTTCGCATATATAAAAATATATTCAACGTTTTTAGATGCCCTTAATAATTTGCCCGAAATAAAGTATGGGAAAGGCGTGATTCATGCTATTGCTAGCACCCTCCACAGTGGCAAAACACAACCCCTCATCAATAATTGCTGCGCTGGCCATGGATCGGAAGAGCTAAACGATTTTATTTTTTCTTGCCATTTACTTTTTGAGTTGTGATGTTTTTTTATTTTGTTCATAATTTTTTGAACACAAGTTACTACTTAATAAATAATACTTCTTCCTTATTTTGATTACAAAATGAGAATTACTATGTAAAATTCCATGATTTTTTAAATCATTTATTTTTACAGATTGGTACATAAAAAAGAAATAAAAATTGCATATTAAAAAACTACGTCCAAAATTATATAAAACAAGAGGTGACACGATTTTTTTTATTTTTTCAAATAATCAATGAAAACATACAAATAAACAAAAGTTATCGAGAGGGGAAACAAAATAAAATTGCAGTCAAAATTGGGACGGAGAGAGTAGGACGTTTAAAAATATTTTTTCAACATCTATTCAACAACAAGAATAATGCATATACAGTTCAGATATTATGTCTCACTTAAATATATTTTTGCTCAAATACTTCAATTTTATTTAAAATTCAACCAGTTTGTGCTTTTTTTTGTTTTTTATGCTATTTAAAGTAAAAGAAAAATCGTATGTTTGGACGGAAAATATAACTGAGACAAAATAATGAAGCATATTTTATTATTAATTTTTTATTTAATTTATTGACCGCGGCAAATGATTGAAATGCTACTCCGTATATAAAAGATTGTAATATTAAAAGAAAAAAATTAAAATACCAGAAAAAACTGAAAAAGAAAAATGAGAAAAATAATGCTTAAGTAAGTACTAAATAAAAATAAAATGCAATCATTACAACGAAAATGGAATACATACTACTGGTGTTCAGTGACTGAAAAAATGAGTGAAGTCAGTAGTGATGTGACACTGACTAAGTGGTGATTTGTTTGTCATTCTTTTATGTCCAAAAAAATAGTTTGTGAATTGTGTATGTCTATCAATAATGTTTACAGGCATCAAGTGTAATGTGTACGTCTGGCATTTGTGAATGGCATTTACGAACGGACACCAAGTCTCTCTAACTGAAAGTGACAAAGCATAGGTCAAAGAAAACACTATGGCTTACAAATAAAATAGTCACAATTCTTACAAATTTTTTATTTTTGACTTTCAATTAAAAATAAAGTAATTGAAACTAATTTTAAAATGAGAACTTAAACCATAAATGGTAAGTTTTTGAATTTTGTGACCATTTTATTTGTAAACTTAGCATTACTCATTCCCATTTAATTTGTTCAACTCCCACGGTTCTTGAAAATACTTCTATCCTAATTTTTTGCGCACCTCGAAGAATACATTTACTTTCACTTAAAATGTTTAAAATACATCACATTATATAGTTTATTGTTGACAGAAGTTGTTTTGGAGATATTTTAATTTAGACATTTTAGGTAGAGTAAAATATTTTATGAGATGTACAAAAAATTAGGGCGGAAATATTTTTAAGAACGGAGAGAGTAATTATTGAACGAGGATAATGAAAAAAATGCATAATGTATTTGACGAAACAGGTGATCTCTTCCTTACGAATAGTAAATATACTCATAGAAAAATATAAAAATAATCTAAAATAATCTTAATTTTATCTGGTTTTAAAAAATAATCCTACATTTCAATGTAATGCATATATAATAATCTCAATTTTACTGAAATTTACGAGTTTTGGGTCGTCATTAAATTTGCTAACAGCGGGCCGGTTAATGGAAATGACCTGTTTTGCCTAACAAAATGAAAGTTGAGATTATTTTTGATAAATTTTTGTTTTTAAATTTTTTGAAATTTTTATTTAAATTTTTAAAATTAATTTCTACCTCCATCATTTCTTTTATTATCATTTTTTAAAGATTAGTCTTACTTTTAAAAAAAATAAAAATAATGGATATAGAAAATAAAAAATGAAAAAAACTAAAATGATACAAAACTAATGAAATAAATAAGGTAATTGAAAGTGAACTACAAACATAAGTCAAATACCGATGCAAAAGGTAATCAAATACTACTCCGAATATTTTTATTGATTAGTGCGTAAAATATTAAACCAACCACTCCGTATATTTTTATTTTATTTATTACCAGTTTCAAGTTAGTTTCTGTTGATAACTTATTTATTTTATTAATTTTGTATGATTTTAGTTATTTTTCTCATTTTTGTCATTTTATACTCCGTATCTATTATTTTTATTTTTTTAGAAGTAAGACTAATAATCTTTTAATAAAAAGAAAAACAATGGTGGAGGAAGAAAGTAATTAAAAAATTTAAACAAAAATTTCATAAAAAACAAAAATTCATGAAAAATAATCCTAACTTTCATTTTGTTGCGCAAAATTGGCCTTTTCCACTAACCAATCGTTAGCAACTTAACGGCAACTCAAAACTCGCAAATTTCAGTAAGTTGAGATTATAGTGAAATGTGAATTTTTTTTTGGAAAACGAGATAAAGTTTAAAATTATTTTGAATAATTTTTCCTAAAGTTACACATTCTAGCTAAAAAACAAAGATTCAAAAATACGAAATAATAAAGGAGAGTAAAGTAGTTGAATAAATAGAAAGTTGCATGGTAGGGCATGCATATTAAAAAAGAGAAGTACGTACAGAGGAAGAGATTGAGATGGTGATGAAAGACGACAAAATAAGGAGATCGCCGAAGAGGAAATTAAGTATTAGCGTTATTAGCGTTTTGAAAAGGCTATCTGATGATAGCTTTTAGTGTTAGCATTTTTCAAAATAAATCTACATCATTAAAATTTTATCGAAAATGCTGATCCCAGACAAGACTGAGGTAGTTAGCTACTTAGATTAGTAGATGCAATAATGGGACGACAATAATATAGGTAGTAGGTGTATATGTATGTGATGGATGTGTGTGTATATATATATACATACACACAGACACATATATATATATACACACTTCATCCCATCTATACCTTGAAGTTCTTCACATTTTGACTTTTAAAAGAATTAAGAGAATGATATTTTTGCATTGAATTTTTAAAAATATCCTTGATATGATGACTAAAAGTAGAATATGATACATAGATTGTTAGTAATTAAAAAGGTATGATCTGCTAGACAGAGTAAGAATTAATACGAGTAGATGTAAAAGTGTGGTTTTAATAATAATGAGAAGGACTTTGTGGGACAAAGAGAAAAAGAAATGAGAAGGAGTTTATGGGATGAATGGGGAGTATAATACTCGTTTTTGTTTTTTTAAAACACTTCCCCTTTTTATTTTTTTTTCTTTTTTTCCAAATAACACTTCCACTTTCTATTAAAAGAAATCACCCAACATACGGTTAAAACATAGAGAAAATACCAAAATAGGAGTTCCATTTTTTTATTTCTTAAATAAGAGTTCGCACTGTGATAATATGGTAATATACATGTGCATTTTACGTAATGTACATGATCATGATAGGTAATGCAAATGTATTTTAACTCTTATTTCAAGAATAAAAACATGGAACTCCTATTTTGTACTACCTCCGTTTGCAAAAAGACTTTCCAGTTTGATTTGGGGCAAAAATAAGGAAGTGTTAAATTACAGTTGATTTCCAATTTTGCCCCTGATGTGAAGGGTAAAAGTATAGTAAGATGTGATTGATAGATTATTAGAGAAAAAGTATGATGTGATAGGTAGGGTATGAAAAAGTAAGAGTAAAAATGGTTTTTTAATTGAAAGGGGAAGTGTTTTGTTGGAAATGGAAAAAATGAAAGATGAAATGTTTTTTAGAACGGATGGAGTATATTTAATATTTTATTTCTACTTTAGTCTTTTTTCATTCCCTCCTATTAAAAAAACCATTTTTACTTTTTTTACCCTACATGTCGCATCATACTATTTCAGTGATGATAACCTACTTACTCATCACATCTTATGTTTATTCATCACGGGCAATATATATATATATATATATATATATATATATATATATATATATATATATATATATATGCATTCATCATTTCATCCATTAGTAGTCAAAATATATGAATCCTTTTTTGAGACGTAGGGAGTATATATATAATATACTCTCTTCTTTTTCTTTTTTTTTTTTAAATTATTGAGTGTATATATTAAGTAGTAGTTGTAGCTCTGTTGTATTGTTGCATGCTGGAAAACAGTGGAATCTGATTTAATTCGCAGCTAGCCGTTGAATAATTCGCATCGCATTTTCTCGCCGGTAATCCTCTCTCTCTCTCTCCAATCTTCGTTCACCGGCCGATATACTACTCGGGTCGCCGGAAACTTGATATATTTTCTGCCGCCGCCGCGGATCACAGTGGCGGGGGCGGGCATTCATTCCGGTCGGAACTTTGATCGGAAGAAATCTGTAGATATCTGGTATTGATGAAGTTGGCTTCCCATATACATGCACGCACTTGAAGTTTTATTTTTTAAGGGAATTTACTTAAATAGCATTCCTTAAATAGCATTATACTTCTTTCGTTCCAAAAAGTCGGTCACGTTTCGAAAAATTAACATCTCTTAAAGTCTGTCTCATTTCTATTAAAAAACCACTTTTAGCTTTTACTTTTTTATACCCTGTCTATCACATCATATTTTTTTTCTAATAATCTACCCATCACATACTATTTTTACCCATCACATCAAAGATATTTTTGGAAAGTCAACACAAAATTGGGGAGGGTTCAAATGACATTGAACCTTGATGTCATGAGATGACCCGGGGGCGCTCCGGTGCCCCGTTCGTAAAATTAACGGTTCCTACCTCCCTAACCCCCCGGTAAATCCCCCCACCCGGCCCTGTCCCGGACACCCCCCCCCCCCTTCAATTGCACCCCACAATTAGACTTTGGAGTCAAATTTTGACTTCAAAGTTAAAATCAACTTGTGAGGTGCAATTGAAGGGGGTGAGGGAGTGTGGTCGGGACGGGGCCGGGTGGGGGGATTTACCGGGGGGGGGGGGGGGTTAGGGGGTATGAACCGTCAATTTTACGAACGGGGCACCGGAGCACCCCCGGGTCATCCCAACATCAAGGTTCAATGTCACTTGAACCTTGATGCACAAAATTATCCCTTCTTATTTTACCACTTTAGTCAAACCGTCCCAATCTTTTTTGGGACGGAGGGAGTATATGTTTTTTTCAAAGTAAGTATGTAACACTATTAGTCATTATTTAAGTAAATGTTCGTTATCATTAGACATTATTAAGTACTATTTAGAAAATGACTTAAGTTTTAGTGCTATTTAGTGCAAAAAAAAATTTATATATGTGCATGAACTTGGTTGACTGGTGCATGCTCGTACTAGGGGTTTTCAAAAATATCCGATCACGAGAACTTCGAGCTGATTCGATCCTAAAATAATGAATATTCGACCTGATATTTTAGATTTCAGATATTTCAAATTTGATATCTGAAAAGAAAAAAATCCGATTGGATATGAAATGAAATGTCAAGAATTCGTGGATATCCGAAGTTCATTTTTAAAACACAATAAATATAAAATATCATTCTAAATATTTTCTTAGAATTTTTGGAAAAAATTAAAATTCAAAAAAGTAAACACAATTTTTTCCGGATCCATTGATCTGATCCAAAATTTTGGATATCATAAACTTAGGTATCTGGTAAATTCTCGATTGGACATGGAATAGATATTTGCCAGTACAAAAATTACGGATATTCAAAAAACCTGATCAGATCGGATATATATGATATGAATGACCACTACTAGCGCGCAACACAATGCCTTACTTAGGTTGCCTTTCGTTTGCATCTCATTTGGTCTTCGATCTGATTAGATTTGATCTGATAATGATCTTATTGTAATTATATTTAGGGCTCTCTCTCTTCAATTGAAAAAATTAACTTCCAACTTTATCCGACTCCTCCCAGTTTCTTCCAAATCTTGTAAGTTTTTTTTATTTCTTTTAATTTTTTTCCACAATGACTTAAAAATATATTTAAAGAAATCACCCCAAATAGAAGTTAACGTGACATTTATCCTCAAAATAAAAATTTGGTATTTTTATCATCGAAATAGAAGTTTGCATTATGAAATTATGACACTAGTTATATAATGACATCCCACTTTATTTGTTAATACTATATTATGGCTTTATTATTGACACTGTACTCTTTTTTTTGGAGAAAAAATATGAATATTTTATTTTGATACTTTCTATATATTTTGCACATAGTTTATTCCATCCCCTGTATATTTACATATGATGATTGTACATTAATATTATATATCTAAATTTATAACATTACTCCTCAAACAGGGAAAAAGATAAATTTTTGTATATCCAAAACCTGTTTTTTCTTACATACTCCGTATTTATTTGAATGATTATTTAATTAAATGATTTCTATAACACCTTTTTTTTCTAATAATTTCTAATTCCTAGTTTTTTCGACCTTCTTGAGAAAACCCCATGATAGAAGAACTCACTCGTGCATCCGGTTGTAGCGTGACGTAATCCGCAGAGAGAACGTAGTCATCCTCGAATGAGTTACGCGTGTCTCTACCACGAGTGATGATCTGATCTGTTCCTAATTATTTCATTTCAGACAATTTCTCTTCTGGTGCTTCTTTTCTTTACACCAAGCACAGACATCCTTAGGTAACTTGAAACAAGAGAACTTTTTTGTTCTCCTTATCTTTGCTTTCATTTGTCGCCGTCAATCTAGAAGCACGATCCATGCTCGGGCTTGCTCCTTGTGGTACATCTCTCTAGATTGCAGAGCTGATCACACATCTTCTAAAGATATGTTGTCCTTATTAACGATAAAAGATTGTACAAATTTCTCTTATGAATTGGAAGGTGGCAACGGGATCGATATAAGAAGTGCATCATCTCCATCATTTACCTCTTCTTTAATATTGCACAAATTCAGCAGCATCGTGATCAATTTGTCAAGGTGATCTTTGAGGATCTTTCCTACCGTCATCCATATGATGAACAACTGTTATTTTAACATCAGTTTGCCAGTAAGACTCTTTATTATGTAGAGACTTCCCGGCAGCTTTTGTTTGGTTTTCCATATATACAATATCCGTAATTGTGTTGCTGCAACACGATGTTTGCGTGCAGTGTGTGCTCTCCTCCATCGATTTGTACTCCTCTGATGTAACAATCATGCGTCTATCACCCGTGGTCAAAGGTGCTCATATGGCCTACGATTTGAGCAAGGCTTCCACCTTTATCTTTCACACATTGCTCTCGTTGACAAATTACAAAGGATCATGCTAGGATGCTCTCAGATAGTTGCTATCCAAACTTCACACAGATAACACAAATGATAACCATCTGAGCGTGCAAAGCTTAAGTGCACCATAATAGTAATCATTTTGGGCATCCATTTTTCCAATGAGAAATTTACTTAAATAGGACTAAAACATAATGACTTTCCCAATATAGGACCATATGTTTTTATTTCCCAATGTAGGACTTTTGGTCATTATCAAGTAGTCATTATTCAAGTAAATGTCTAGCATTACTGGACATGATTCCTCCCACTATGTCATCATTAAGTCCTATTTAGAGAATAAAAAAATTTAAGTCTTACATTAGAAAAGTCATTCCTCCCACTATGTCATTATTAAGTCCTATTTAGGGAATAAAAAAATTTAAGTCCTACATTAGAAAAGTCATTATGTTTTAGTCGTATTTAGTGCAAATTTCACTTTTTTCCCATTCCTAAACCCTAGAAAGAAGGGCTGACCAAATTCCGCTGACCAAATTCGGCTGACCAAACTCCTCTGACCAATACTCCGCTGACCTTTGATCCGAAAACAAATCCAGCGATCTATTCCCTCTCTCAGCAGCTCCAGTCAATCAGCGGCAGATTGCGATCTCCAGCGTCTTTTTATCTCTTTGCGCACTTCCTATCGATGGAAGAAACCAGCGGCCTCCTCAGATTCTAGTCCAATGGCGGTGCTCCTCTCTGGTTTCCGATCAAAAAAGAACCAGCAGAGGCAAATCCCTCAGGTTTTCCGATGGAAAAAGCCAGCAGCGGAGAATGCAGTTCCGATTTCCGATCAAAGACAGGCAGTGGCTCTCCCCTTGGGATTTTGGTTGAAGAAGACATGCTTCCCTTTTCCCGATTGGAAACAGACCAGCAGCACCAGGTGACTAATTCTTTTCTTGCAACCTCGCTCCTACCAGTTTGTTATGAACTCAATTTCACAATAACTCCGGAAATTTTAAAGCACACAAGTTTAGCAAAGAACAACCTTTATTTCACAAGAGAAACTGAACAGAATTGATGTGCATCACCCTCTTTGTTCCCTCGTAGAGGTCCTAATTATAGCATTAAGATAGACCCACCATCACATGCTCTTACTGGGACTAGGTTTCATATAATGGTTGCCTTTACAAGTTTCCTAATCTAACTTACATTGAGTTTCTGATTCAAGTCATAAAGACTAACAGATACTTTCTGTGAGCTTTTTATAGGGATACAATTAATGGGTTGTTTGGGCTGAAGTTTTATTTTAAGTGTCTACAACCATTTCTTCTGTGTTCAACCATTGTTTAGATCGATTGGTTATGTCACTTAATGTTGCTTAAGTTCTGAATTTTAATGATTTAGTTGTTCTTTAGCTACACTTTTGTATAATATTCTTGATTTTGTTTGAAATCTCAATTGTAAACGTGATATGCTTGGCTAGGTTTTTGGGGAGATATACTGCGAGTTTACTGGTGCTGAATTTGTTTGAGAGAGGATAATTCGAGAATATTTAGTGCTGAGAATTGATTTATCAGAATGGCGTGCCTTAGAGCTGGGTCAAGCATTGCTAAACTTGATGTTAGGATCGCTGTATCACTACGTTGTTCACCCCTCTCTCGGACTCGTATCTTTCTACAGCATAGTAGATGTTTTCATTCAACTTCTCTCAGGCCCAAGGCTCAGACTGCTCCTATCTCAAGGGTTGTACCTCTCTCTGAGTTGACTGATAACTTCTTAGATGGGACAAGCAGTGTGTATTTTGAGGAGCTTCAGCAAGCATGGGAGCAAGATCCGAACAGCGTGGATGAGTCGTGGGATAACTTCTTCAGGAGTTTTGTTGGGCAGGCCACCATATCTCCAGGAATTTTTGGCCAAACTATACAAGAGAGCATGAACCTCTTATTGCTTGTGAGGGCTTATCAGGTCAATGGTCACATGAAAGCTAAACTAGACCCTTTGAGTTTAGAAGAGAGACAAATTCCAGATGATATAGATCCTGCTTCTTATGGGTTCACTAAAGCCGATCTTGACCGTGAATTCTTTCTTGGTGTTTGGAGCTTGTCTGGCTTCTTGTCTAAAAACAGCCCTGTTCAGACCTTGAGAGCCATATTGACACGACTTGAGAAGGCTTATTGTGGAAGCATTGGTTATGAGTACATGCACATTTCTGACCGTGAAAAATGTAATTGGCTGAGGGACAAAATTGAGACTCCAACAACAACGGAATACAGTCATGAGCGGTGCGTGGTTATGCTTGATAGGCTGATGTGGAGTTCTCTGTTTGAGAATTTCTTGGCTACCAAATGGACAGCTACAAAGAGGTTTAGCCTGGAAGGCTGTGAAACTTTGATTCCTGGAATGGAGGAGATGTTTGATAAGGCAGCAGATCTAGGCGTAGAAAGCATAGTCATTGGGATGTCACATAGAGGAAGGTTAAATGTTCTAGGTAATGTTGTCAGGAAGTCACTCCGACAGATCTTTAATGAGTTTAGTGGTGGTACAAATGCCGTTGGTGAAGCTGGTTATGTAGGAACAGGTGATCTGAGGTATCACTTGGGCGCTTCTTATGATCGCCCAACAAGAGGTGGGAAAAGAATTCACCTATCGTTGGTTGCAAACCCAAGCCACTTAGAAGCTGTGGACCCAGTTGTAGTCGGAAAAACTAGAGCAAAACAATATTATACAAATGATGTTGATAGGACAAAGAACTTGGGTATTCTGGTTCACGGTGATGGAAGCTTTGCAGGGCAAGGTGTTGTCTACGAGACATTGCATCTCAGTGCTCTTCCAAACTATACGACCGGTGGAACCATACACATTGTTGTCAACAACCAAGTCGCCTTTACTACTGATCCAAGGTCCGGAAGATCTTCTCAATACTGTACTGATGTTGCCAAAGCCTTGAGTGCCCCAATCTTTCACGTCAATGGGGATGATGTTGAGGCTGTAGCTCATGTTTGTGAACTTGCTGCAGAGTGGCGTCAAACATTTCACTCGGATGTTGTCGTTGATATCGTTTGCTATAGGCGATTTGGGCACAATGAAAATGATGAACCTTTCTTTACTCAACCAAAAATGTACAAGGTATATGGACCATGTTTACAGTGTAATTCTTCCTAATTTACAATTTTACATAAGAATCAATGTCAAATGACGTCAAGGTGTACCAACTTTCGCACTGCAGTATAACTTCTGGTTGTTTGATATTCTGCTCTGATTTTAGCATCAATGGTAGAAATCCAGTTTTATCGTTAAGTGCTTTTATAGGTCATTCGAAATCATCCTTCAGCGTTAGAGATCTACCAAAAGAAACTTCTAGATGCTGGTAATGTGGGAAAGGACGATATTGAAAAGATGCATAATAAGATCAATGCAGTCCTAAATGAGGAGTTTGTTGCTTGCAAAGACTATGCTGCACAGAAGAGGGACTGGCTTTCTGCATTTTGGTCTGGATTCAAGTCCCCTGAACAGCTTTCACATATTCGAAATACAGGGTAAGTTTTCTACAGCCATAATAATTATTTTTCAATCGTCAGTCCCCTTGACCAAATACAGGGTATTCCTTCCCTAACTTAAAGTATACCCGTAGTTTTTTTCCAATTTGGATATAAATCTGCTTGATGTAACTTTTTGCCCCATATGAAAATTTATTGACCAACAAGTCTTTTACATTTGCAATCTGAGATTCCTCCCATTTTCATGTTGTTCATAGCGTAAAACCAGAGATCCTGAAAAATGTTGGAAAAGCGATCACCACCCTTCCATAAAATTTTAAGCCACATAGAGCAGTGAAAAGGATTTTTGATGACCACAAGAAGATGATTGAAACAGGAGAAGGTGTTGATTGGGCACTAGGGGAAGCACTTGCTTTTGCTACACTGCTTGTGGAAGGAAACCATGTAAGGTTGAGTGGTCAGGATGTTGAAAGAGGCACTTTTAGTCACAGACACTCTGTTCTCCATGATCAAGAGACAGGTGAGAAGTATTGCCCTATGGATCATGTCATGATGAACCAGAATGAAGAGATGTTCACCGTAAGCAACAGGCAAGTCCGATTGCATGTTTTCAAATCCATTATACAGATGAATATTGCACCAAACTTGTAGATGTTCTTTGCGAAGAGAGAATGATTTTGTTATGTGGAAATCGTTGATCTGTACAAAATGAGTGATATTTATAGCTACTTGATGAGCTAAGTGCTGACCAAATAGATTATGTAATTGATGAGCTAATAGAAGATGTAATATATTCTAGAAGTCTACATATTTCTACACCCTTGTTATAAATACCAAGCTTTTTGCAAATATAACCAATCTGGGACCTTGATTTAGCTGATCGGCAGATTTTACAAATCTTGTACTAATGCAGCCAAACACAATTTTTTTTCTCCAAACAAGTGACAATCCACTCAATGTGTTCCTTTCATGAAAAATAGGAATTGCTGCTCGGTTGCATATATTATTGCTATTTGTGTTGTGGAAAAAATTATGTGTTAAGGTTGATTTATGAGTTTTGTTATTCGATACCTTTACACATTTTTACATGCCAAATGAGTTTTGTTATTTAGGTGGCATACACTAGAGTTTTAGGTTGCTAAAGCTATGCCTGTGACTCAAAGTATAAGAACATCAGATTCATGCTAAAATTGTATTTTCATTTAGTGTAGTTATCCTATTAAAGCTAACAATTGTGTGGTCATATTGTTGCAATTACTGCACATTTCATGCGAACACCTAGTTATCTAGTATTGGGTTCTTTTGTTTTTATCTTTCTGAACTTTGATTGGAGTCAATGGAGTCATTGCTTTGTTTACAAGTATGCAGCAACATTAACAAACATATATTGAAACAAAATTTTGGGTCCTTTCACCTTTGGCTCTTGTCCTTTTCACATTGCGTTGGTTTCTCTTTGTATTGATACACAACACTCTTACATATTGCAGTTGCAAACAAAATCAAGTAACACAATTCTCAACGTTTACTTTATTTTCCAAACAGCTCTCTTTCAGAATTTGGTGTCCTGGGATTTGAATTGGGGTATTCAATGGAAAATCCAAATTCGTTGGTGATATGGGAAGCCCAATATGGTGAGTTTTCCATGGGAGCTCAAGTGATTTTTGACCAGTTTTTGAGCAGTGGAGAGGCAAAGTGGCTGCGTCAGACAGGATTAGTTGTGCTTTTACCACATGGTTATGATGGCCAAGGCCCTGAGCATTCCAATGCACGCTTGGAACGCTTTCTTCAGGTATTGTCATATTGATATTTCTTCCCCTGAAGTATAATTTTTCTAACATCTCCATAACGTGGAATCAAGTTATGATGATGCGGTTTTAAAATATTATCTCATTATTCCACTTCATTAGAATGCTGCAACCGGAAGGGGCATTTGGATTGATACATTGTGAGTTGTGACTGTGCTTTTTCCCTGCCTACTTGGGTTTAAGTTGCTAAGAGTGATAATGATTAGATCTACTTATAGTGAAGCTATGTGCTCACACCCGTCCCAGTGCAACCTAATATGCCATGATATTTAGTGAGGTTGCTAGTCAAGGTATGCCTTGTTATCATGTAGTTTGTGCTACACTTTGTTCTAAGGAGATGGTACACTAGATACACATGTTCAGTGTTCTAAATGGGCTAGGTGGACCATAGAAAATAGACTAGGTCCAAGTGTCTAGGACTGGTTGTAAGACTAAAGAAGAAAACATCGGCCTATTGGTGAGCCAAAATAAGAATTGGAGGCGGAAAATGGTGGCCTAGCACCTAGGCGGTTTAGAATACAGAGATACAGGATATGAATACACAATTGCTATGTAGATAAGTGAATTGTAAAGTTCCTTTCAATATTTCAAATCCCAGTAATAATTATTCTGTAATTGCAGTATTTGTGTACCACATTAATCCTGTAAGGGTGACCCCCTTTAATTTCAGTTTTGTCTCTCTTGCCCTTACTAACTTGTTACAATAAAGCCTGGATTTTTTCAAATGCATTGACATGTAGTATCTTTCGGCAGATGAGTGATGATAATCCATACGTTATCCCTGAGATGGACTCAACCCGACGGACACAGATTCAAGAATGCAATTGGCAAGTGGTGAATGTTACTACTCCTGCCAACTATTTCCATGTGCTGAGACGCCAAGTAAGTGGAGACTAGAATTTGGACCTGACGTTAATAAGTGCCCTTCAATCTCTGATAAAACATATTATGTTGGGTTATTCGGTGAAGGCTTTAGAGCTTTGGGCTTGAAGCCTCGTCGGTTAAAGGGAAGAAACACGGGGGGCCGGTTTCATTTATTAATTAAAGGGTCCATTAGTTGTTTCTTGTTTAGCAAGTTGTTAACCCTAGTTTATATCTTATAAATACCCAATTATGTAACTATAATTGTGAGCACCTAATAAAAGATAAACCCTAGTTGCAACCCGTGGAGTAGGTTATTGACCAAACCACGTTAAATCTCGTGTTTTTATTTTTTGCTACTTGTGTGTGTGTGTGTGTTCGCTTCCGCTTGACCGCCTCTGATCTCTGATTTCTAACAAGTGGTATCAAAGCCTTGGTTCGGTTAAACACACGGTTACACAGGATCGATTGCAGGAAGAAGGCCGTTCGGGATCATTTTTGCTGCTGTTTTGCTTCCGCAGTTAAGGTTACTGAAACCTTTTGGAGCAGACGCAAACAGGGACAGCAGGTTGTCCAGTTTTCTGATTTGATTAAGCCGCTGCAGGGGCTGATTTGGATCTGGTCAGGGGCTGTTCGGTCGGTTTTGGCTGAACTTGGTGATTAGGGTTTCTAGTTTTGGACCGGTACTCGTTGGTTCGGGTTCTTTGTTTTAGGGTTTGTTTTCTTCTAGAGGTTGCTTGGTTTTGGGCCGTTATTCCTTGGTTTTTGCTCTGGTTTTTTTTCTCGTTTTGCAATGGCTAAGGACTGGAGGGTTCAAATCGAGAAGTTCAATGGTACTGATTTTGCATGGTGGAAAATGCAAATAGAGGCGTTGCTTGGTGAGTGCGATTTGGACATGGTACAGGAAGAGAAACCGGATGGAATGGATAAGGCTGCTGAAGCAATTTGGGACTCAAAGGACGAAAATGCAAGAGGTAAAATTACATTGGCTTTGACGAGGAGTGTGGCGTTTAATATCATGAAGGAAACAACTGCTTGTGGTATGTTAACAGCTTTGTCAAATATGTATGAGAAACCGTCAGCCGGTAATAGAGTGTTCTTGATGAGGGAATTGTTCATGATGAGAATGAACGAGGGCTGCCCAGTTGCTGATCACATTAATGAGGTCAATTTGATCTTGTCCAGTTGTCCAGGTTATCATCAGTAGGCATGAAGTTTGATGATGACACTCAGGCTGTGATTTTGTTATCTTCCTTGCCTGATAGTTGGTCGGGATTTGTGACAACGGTTACTGAGAGTGCTGGAACAGGAAACTTGAAGTTTGATCGGATACGGGATAGTGTTTTGGGTGAAGACATTCGCTGGAGGAGTGCTAGTGGATGATCTACTTTTGGGTTACTCAGTGTTAGCAGGGGAAGAGGTAATAACAGAAACAGTGGGAGTCGTGGGAAGAGCTCGTCTAAGGCTGGAAAGAATGTGGTGTGTTGGGTCTGCAAAGAAGTTGGACATGTCAAGAGTCAATGTCCAAACAAAAAAAAACAAAATTAGCAAATTGTTGGGAATGCATCTGATGATGATGATGATAGTGATGCATTGATACTCAGCATGGAAAGCTATGTTTACTCTTGGGTCATGGATTCAGGTGCTTCGTTTCACGCCATGCACAGCGGTGAGGCGATGGTGAATCTCAAAAAAGGAGACTTTGGAAAGGTATAGTTGGGTAACGAGAAAATCCTTAAAGTGATGGGCATGGGAGATGTTGATCTAAAAACTTCATTTGGAACTACTTGGAGCTTACAAAATGTCAGGTTGATTCCAAGACTGAAGACAAAGTTGATCTCAGTCGGACAATTGCATAGTCGGGGACTAGACGTCAAGTTTGGTGGTGGAAAATGGAAGGTGATCAAAGGAAATTTGGTTATTGCTCGAGGCTTGAAAAAAGGATCGTTATACATGGTACCAGTGACGTCTGATGGAGTGACCAACGCGGTAAAGACGGTTAACAAAGTCGGGCTCACTGAATCGGGCAGAGCTAAGAAAGTTCATTTTGCAAATGTGAATCTTGGAGCATTGGGGATGTCAGCTGAGTGTGTTCGGAGGTCTGAATCAAGTCAGGGGTTTCGTGACAGTGGGAGCATGGGACGTGTTCCGGGTACAATTCTGATACGCCGTTGGGTTTTGAAGAAATGAAGACCAAGAATCCGAATGTTAAAATCTCTCTTGGGAATATTTTGCTGGATTTGGAGAGTAGTAATGGTCCTCGGTGTATCTCTGGATCCGGTGGATTGTGCAAGCCGGTTGAGACAGGCTGTGGCGGTTACAGTCACGACTGGGTTGGAGCTCGGCGGAGCTTCAACTGTCCTTTCAGGTAATTAATGAAGGGGGTGGTTGCAACTTGCAACTAGGGGATATAACTGGAGTCTTAGCTTGTTCTTGGGAACTGGAGGCTTGGAGGGCTTGGCAGTGAAGATTACTGAGTTACTGATGATGGGTTTACTTGGATGGCATTTGTGTCTATGCGAAAGCCTTCAAGTGGGAGATTGTTGGGTTATTCGGTGAAGGCTTTAGAGCTTTGGGCTTGAAGCCCCGTTGGCTAAAGGGAAGAAACATGGGGGGGGGGGTTTCAGTTATTAATTAAAGGATCCATTAGTTGTTTCTCGTTTAGCAAGTTGTTAACCCTAGTTTATATCTTATAAATACCCAATCATGTAACTATAATCTGTGAGCACCTAATAAAAGATAAACCCTAGTTGTAACCCGTGGAGTAGGTTAATGACCGAATCACGTTAAATCTCGTGTTCTTATTTTTTGCTACTTGTGTGTGTGTGTGTGTGTTCGCTTCTGCTTGATCGCCTTTTCCAGATTCATAGGGACTTCCGTAAACCTCTCATCGTGATGTCTCCAAAGAACTTGCTTCATCACAAAGACTGCAAATCAAACCTATCCGAGTTGGATGATGAACAAGGGCATCCTGGTTTTGATAAACAAGGCACCAGATTTAAGCGCCTTATCAAGGATCAGAATAACCATTCTGATCTGGAGGAGGGCATTCGGCGTTTGATCCTTTGCTCGGGAAAGGTATGTAAAGTTTAAAATTGCTTCGTTACCCTTCTTGTCTACATAGACGAGTCATGAGTGCACATACATGCTCATATCTGTGAACAAAAGTGGGGTGGAGGAAAGATTGGGGACAAGGTAACACTACTCATGAAAAGTTTTTGTTTACCTAACCAAGAATTTCATCTATATTACTCTCCATTCCAAAAAAAAGTCTCTTTTCATTACATTTTTTGTCACAAAAAAAGATGTCAATTTAAAAAAAACTATTTTTTGTTGGATTAAATAATCTAACTTTTGTTGGATGTAATATAATCCCTCCCCCCCCCAAAAAAAAAGTGTTCCACACAATATATATCTATAGTTGGAAAAACACTCAATTTTTAAAATTGAGTATGGTTTATAATTTGCAAAAATGGCAACTTATTAAAATCAGAAGTTATGAAGGAACAAAGCCTTTTTTGGGGGTGGGGGTGTCTGCTAAATAACTTTAGACTTTTAAAAGGCCTACTAATTAACTGTTGAAGATCGCAAAAAAATCATGACAAAATGTGCGTGATTTCAATATTTGCCATATGTATGTTATTTCTTGTACATTTATTTGCAGGTGTATTACGAGCTTGACGAGGAGAGAAAGAAGGTTGGAAGAAAAGACGTTACTATTTGTAGGGTTGAGCAGCTTTGTCCTTTCCCATATGACCTCATCCAGCGTGAATTGAAGCGATATCCAAGTTTGTCATCCGTCTCTGTTTTTTATCCCTTATGTGCATAATTTTCTCTCCGAAGTGTTATATAGTGCTCGTTTGAGGTATGGTGGTTTTTCTAACTTATCCAAATTATGAGTCAGAGTTTCTACCAAACACTTGCAAATTTGGCTACATGGGTTAAATCGGCCGACAATAGGAAACATAGTTATCCATTACTTCTTTGACTGAAATGACCAACATGTAAGCAAATGACTAACATAGTTAATTTAGTAATCCCAAAAATACTTCTCACATTATTTCCTTCTTTATTTATGAACTTGCGTCTTACAAGATTTCTCTCTCATCAGTAAATTTTAACCACGCCCTTTTCATTTTTTAACAACATTCTTAAACTTCGTGAAAGTCAAAATAGGTAAAGTTTTCTGGGGAAGGGGAGGCATCTGATCCTCCTAACTCGATTTTTATGTGGCGGCGGTTGTTACAAAATGTAATCTTAAATGTTCTCTAAATAGTTCAATCCCTGCTGAGCCAAACCAGCCCTTTCAAACACATTTGTCAGCTCTACTCCTGGGATGGGTGGGATTGGGGCTTTAACATCATTCCATTGGTATACTGAGCTTGTTCTCCTCAACGTATTCTTATTACTTATTACTTATTATTAACTAATGTTGTCTTGATTTGATCTCACAGAGGCAGAGATCGTGTGGTGCCAAGAAGAGCCTATGAACATGGGGGCATATAATTACATTGCGCCACGCCTTTGTACTGCAATGAAAAGCCTTGGGAGAGGCAATATGGATGACATCAAATATGTGGGCCGCGCTCCCTCGGCCTCCACAGCCACTGGTTTCTATCAGGTTCATGTTAAAGAGCAGTCGGAGATCGTGCAGAAAGCCTTGCAGCTTGATCCTATCAACTATCCCTTATGATGGACGCCCATCATTTACGCCAAACTTGGTATTCTTCTTGCTTTCAAAAAATAATTCTTTCTCGGCAAATCCGACCAATTTTTCTCTTGATTCTTTCATGCCATAAGCAATGTTCCTTTTTATTTTTTTTCAAAAAGAAAAAAAAACTATGACAATATCCCAAGTTTCGCACATTTTGTGCTTCCAATTCTAGGTTTGTATTTCTCATCAATAAATCAAAGTTTTATCAGTGTTGATGTTAATGGTCTCTGCTTCACCGGCATTGAGTGCATGTGAGATTGTGTTGATTCTTTCGCTACTTATTTTCCTTCCCTTTGTCTCATCCCCTAAAACTCATCACCCGTGAAGCGGGGACCATTATACTTACACACGAGCAAATTTGTCGAAGAAATATGAAATTTGGGATGGTTAGTATAAAACGTGGGAACTTTTTGGCATGATTTTGTTTTTAATACATCTTTGAGTACACTTGATAATGCACATTGAATAAAGGTGTAATGAGCTTCTTCGCCGAACGGTCATATCGTGACCGGTCTTTGTTCATATCAGATTTATTCTATCTATTCTCTGTTGTGCTCAATGGAAAAAGTTACAAATAGCCTTATAGCCATATAGGCATTGATATTTGTCCTTCAACCTCGGGGGTAATTTAGTATTCTTTCTATTCTTCGTATTCGTTTGATAAAATACTCCGTAATAGCATTATGTCATCTCGTGTTGAATTTTTAATGTAGTACTACAACCATAGTTTCTAGATGTGGTCTTTCGTCGAAATCTTAGTCCACAGTCAGTCTTTATTGTTGTGTGTCCGTCTAACTGACATCAGAATACGTCATTAGACATAAAATTTATGTCAAACTATACTTTTAGCCTTCAAATTAATACCAACATAACAAAATGACAGAAAATGACTATTAATGAAAAGATAGTCATAAAAGAAGGGTCACAAAGGTAATTTATGATAATAGAGAACTAAATAAGAAAATTCATCTGTTATAAAAGATCAATTGTGAAATTTAGTCTAATTTAAAAAATTCGTTGAATGGTAATCTCATGGTTCGTGTTGTCTCTTATATCCTTTTTTTTTTACTTATTTCTCTATTTTTTCTATGCAAACAAGATAAAAATAATTTACCCAACGAGCCAAATGGTTTTCTATCCTCAAGCCTTTGAACAAATTCAGTCATCTCTCTTTATAAAAAATTAATTAACTCCACATGATATGCAGTTTGTGTTGGAAATGGGACAAAAACAACACTTAAAATGCATGCCCTACAAACCCCTTATAGGATCTTTGATTTTTTATTGTCTTGTAGAATGGTTAACTTTAAAAGAAATTTTTTTAATATTTAAAATAACTTTCTATTAAAGTTTTTTTAAGTAACTATTTGTGGGTTTTTTTTTTCACTTATGAGTTTTATTAGTGGATTAAAGTATTACTCCTTACATCCTAATAATTACAGAATATGTCTTAGGTATGGTGAATCTTGGAGAGTTTGAATTTTATCTTATTACATTAACATTTACAGAGTATTAATTACATGTTACTAATTGTAAACGGAGTAAAATATACTCCATAAGGGTGGTGGAAGGTACACCTACCTCTTATACTCTTTTAACTGCGTTATCTCTTTCCTCCACATAAGCGCCACTTCAAATTTAACTAATTTCATACTTTTCTTACTACATATGGGGTTTACATACGCTAATTCGCCAACTTACTACAACTATTTTTTAAATATTTGACTTAAATTAATATTATAAATAAATTTTAAAATAACTTTTAAATAATTAACTCCAGCTAATGTTACTACATTACATTCAAAATATATTTTAAATAATTAACTCAAACTAACACTATAAAATAAAATTGATTTTTTTAAAATAATTAGCTTCTAGCAAATAATATATATTAAATTAATATTCCTTATCGTGCAATAATGTCACGTAGAAAATAATTAAAAAGATAAAAAGATACTCATATGTTTGAAAATTTGAAAATAGTAAAGGTATTTTTGGAAATAGAAAATTATCTTTACAACTTATTTAGTTCAAATAATTAATTAAATTTACTAAATTAATAAAACTTAATAAGATTTGTAATTAAAGCTACTAATTTATACGGGGTGTCAAGTTTGTTTCGGAACAACATTATTTTAAGTTGGATTAGTTAATATTATACCCCAGAGTAAATTAATTAAAACGAAATTGGGTGAATGGAAATGTAATAATATTCAATTTTTGATTAAAATGAGTGGATTCATCTAGTTGGTAATTGGTATGCTCGGTAAAACTATAGACCCATTTACCAATTTTTATTTGATAGCAAAAGAGGAGGGGCAGTATTACCCTCTTTGCCAAATCACCACATAAGCCAATTTTGGTACCAAATATGATTTGCTACACCCACACCGTGCACTCTAAGTAACACAGAGTACAACTTTTCAGTGAATTCTGCTTTTATATATATATATATATATATATATATATATATACTCCGTATATAGTAGTAGAATACATAGTTTTATTCCTACGATAATTGGGAGAAATACAAAAATAGAAACTAAAATATAGAGAAAGAATGAAAATAGGATTCACATTTTTTTCTCTTCAGAATAGGGCCAAAAATTATTTTTTAAAAAATATTTGCACTAGTCCATAAGAATGAGAGCAAATTCTCCTTCCCCAAATTGTCACGGGTGTCACTATACTTCCGCATCCAATCCAATTAAATTTGGATGCGGAAGGATGAAAGCAAATCGGCAATATACAACTTGTGTTTCTTAATTAAAAAATGATATCAATAGACTTCTTACTCTTCCATGATGAATCTGGTAATAGCTCTTCATCTATTTATGTCATTATATGTTTTATTATGTTATCTTCAGATAATATTTTTGCCGTACATCGCACGAGTTAGAGTCTAGTAAGTAATAAAGAATAAATTGAAGAGAAGGTATGGATGGATAAACATTCAAAAATGAGCAAAAAAAAAAAAATTAAATAATGATAAATTGTCTAAAATATCTTATAAATTGAATATGATCGAGCATGATTGATATTAAAGATTGACAAAGGCATTGAAGAACTTATTTGGGAGTTTATTCTCATTGGAATCTTGTTGTTGTTGTTCATTCATCAATTCCTTGTTGTCCTGCCGCCTGCCCCGCAGCTTTTGGTGAGCGGCGAACCACACAAGCCAGGATTCCCTTCGTATGAAGCATTTCCAAAGGAGCCGAACCGACCCCCGGTGGGAATACGTCCCACGAGACGGTTGCGGGCGAGGTCTAAGGTTTCCAGCTTGGCCAAGCCTCCCAGACACCGCGGAATGGCGCCACTCAGGGTGTTGTTACCAAGATCAAGCACTTGAAGCCCACTCGCGCTGCATATCGAAGCCGGTATCTCCCCTATCAAGCTGTTGGACCTGGCTGCAAAGCCAGCCAGCTTGCTCATTCTCCCAAACATGTTTGGGATTCTCCCCGTGAGGCGGTTTTCGGAGAGAGCAAAGACGGTCAGCTGGTGGAGATTGGACAGAGAGGGCGGGATCGGGCCGTTGAAATCGTTGGCTATCAGACTGAGGAACCTCAGCTCCGTGAGGTTCCCCAGGGAAGCCGGGATGGGCCCGCCGAAGCGGCACCCTCCAACATCCAAGTGCCGCAGGGAACTGAGACTGCCGATTGAGTCTGGCAGTCTCCCTGCGATCTTGGTGAACTGGATGTCGAGATGCTTTAGTGCTTTGCTCCACGATGCGTCCGACAAGTCCCCCGTGAGCTCCCCGTTCTCCGAGAGCACGAGTTTCTGGAGGTTGGGCAAGCCGATGACGCTCTCCGCCGGGAACTCGCCCTTGAGGTCACACTGGTTGAGGGTGAGTGTCGTGAGGGCGGGCGAGAACCCGGAAAAGGCGGTGCTGGGTTCGATCGAGTCCATACGGACACGGTCGAGCCCAACCTCTCTCAACCGGGTCATCTTCTGAACCAGAGCCGCCCACGCGGAGGGCTCGAGCCTCAACCCACTGTTGAAGCTCAAGTCCAGCGTGACCAACCCGGACAAGCCGGAGAGCTCAACGGGTATCTCCCCGTTCAAGTTACTGGAAGAGAGGTTGAGATGGGTTAAGCTGGAGGAGAAGGAAGAAGCGTAGAGAGGCAGGAGGGGGGATTGCTGGAGGTCGTTGTAGGCCAGGTTGAGAGTTTGGAGGTGTTTGAGGGAGAAGAGGGTGCTGTTGGGATGGACATGGCCTCGGAGCCAGCTGCAGCTGAGGTCAAGGCCGATCACGTTCCCGGTCCGGTTCTCGCACTGGACGCCGTCCCATTTCGCGCAGCAGTCGGTGCCTGCCTTCCAGGAGTCTGTCTTTGGGTGCGTGGTGGTCCCGGCGTCGGCGCAGGCAATCGAGGCCTGGCTGTCGGTGGCGAAGGCCGCCTTGAATTTGAGCAGAGCGTCGCTCTGGTTTTTCCGACAAGAAGCAGCAGCTGCTGCTGAAGATGAAGAAGATGAGAATGCCGTGATGATGGTGCAGAGAAGGAATAATAATGGGAAGAGGCCAACTGTTTTGCCCATCTTTTTTGTTGGGAAGAAAATTTAAAAGCTGGGCTGGGGAAGTGTTTGTTTGTTTTTCTGTTGATGGATGATGGATTGTTGTTAGCGATGAGGGGGGTTTTTATAATCATCAATGGATGATTTCTTCTATCCAGAATCTCGGCTACTCCGTACTCGGCAATACGTATTGGAGCCGTCACATACGACCAGCAATCCGAGTAAAAAGTCCGCTTTGACTTTTTTCCAGTGCTTAGTCCGCTTTGACTATTTTTATATTTCTCCCTCTATATATATATATACACACACAATCATGCTAGGTAATGTAAATATATTTGTACTCATTTTTAAGATATAAAAATTAAACTTCTATTTTAATACTCTCTCCGTCCCATGAAACATGTGAGTTTTGTTTTTTTAGAAGGATTTAAGGGGAATGCATTTTGGTATTGAATTTTCAAAAATGTTCTTTAATGTGATGGAAAAAAGTATGATTTAATGAATAAATTATTACTCCCTCCGTCCCATTTTATAACGCCTGTTTCGATTTACGATATTTGACTGAAGTTATTTTCAAATCATTTTATATGACAAATGGTATAGAATTAAAAAATAAAAATTACATATCAAAATACTACATCAAAAGATCTACAAAACTAGTAGTGACAACAATATTTTATTTTATCAAATTACTAACGAAAATAGTAATTTTGACAACAATATTTTATTTTATTTTAGTAGTTATGTTCACAAAACACGTATTTAACTTTTTAGTATTAATGTCAATATTGTTATTTCAAATCGCTAATTTTTTAATAATATATAAAGTACAACTAATAGAAACTTTCACACATAAAGTTTTAAGATTGTGGTTAAATTTGCTTCGGCAACTTTTTTTTAGTACGTAAGAAATAGAGTACATTAAAAAATAACTAATTTCATTTATTCAAATTACTCCTTTTTTTTATTAACTTGCAAATAGAATTTCTTAAAGAGGAGCCTCAAATTTACAATAAAAAAAGTTCACAACATTTATAAAATCAATTAAGCGACAAAAAAAAGTATTTAGTCACTCGATACATCCATACGTATGGCATAAGCACTAGTAATTAAAAGGGGAGGGATTAATGCAAAAGGTCTATAAATAGATGTGGAGGGTGGGATTGTAATCCTGCAAAACTCAAAATACAAAAGTGAACAATGTAATCTTTCTGAAAAGATATGATGCACCAAAATCTACTCAACCCATGGGGGAGAAGAGAAAACCAAAACTAAAAAAGAAGCAAGCATTGAAATAAATATTCTGAAGGGGGGATGCGTAAGCAAAGAAAGTTGACAATAGGGAACATATCTTTCTTGATAAGAAGCCTATTAGTAGAAGAAACCGAGAACCTTTCCACCGGCGTTCTTTCTCCTGGCTTCTTCGTGGTCCATGATTCCGGCAGAAGTAGTCAGCACAATGTATCCAAACTGAAATTCCAAAATAACAATAATAACTAACAAATGATGCAAAGACCAAACAGGAGCGATAGGCTTTAATCCATTGGAACATTGGAATGTAAATATTAAGCAATAGATTGTATGAATAAGAGATGGAGCTAGATAACAGTATAAGTGTATAACACCCTTTTTATCTTAAGAGTGTGACCGAGAAGATGTCATTAATGGTACAAGACTACGAGGAGGTCAACCAACTCATAGCAAAGCACATCCCACCTTATATGGAGCAATGGGTTTCTGCTTATGATCATTGGAGATCATGAAAGATTATATGCTTGTTTCCTAAAATAATAGATCCTCAGTTACGGGTCTAATCAACCCATCCCAAAAAACTTTACACATTTTGACGTTTGCAGAGTTAAAGAAAAGTGTTACAAAGTAAAAATTGTATAGTTAAAATCTGTTTAGATGAGAGAAATCTTGTGAGGTATATGTTCATTACTCTAAAAAAAAGGAGTAGTTGCTATAATAAAAATCTGTTTAAAGAGACAAAAAAGTGGAAGCCAAACAGCAAATAATGTTTGGGCGACCACGCCACCATGCCACTTGTGTTGACTAATACAAAATTGAGAAAGTATAAACCAAGATAGACAAACAAAAAATTCCATGTGAAAACATGAATAAGATGGATGAAGGTACCTGTCTTGATGGAAGCAACCTTGCAGTCCAACTTTCAATGTCTTTCACGCCAACATCAAAACGGGGACTGATTACTCCACACTTGTTCAACCTCCCATTCAGCTCAACTACAATCTTTCCAGATCTGTGATCATCGACATACTCAAACTCCCCAATGTATCCTGCAAGGGTAACAAACGACCAAAACTTAATAAGGCATCATAGCAAACCAAAGTCAAGAACAAAATCCCAACATAATCAAACATACCATGCTTCTGCATCACCATAAGAAACTTGATAATCACTTTTGATGAAGGCCTGATCATGACCTGTCTCTTCCCCCTCTTCTCAGCATTGTACATGCTCTTCAGGGCGTCATTCAGCACGCTAATCCTCACCATCTTTTAGCAATGATGCTACATCCCAATCAAATCAGTCATTAAAAAAGGGAGCTTTTGGCCAATAACTAGGAAAAAGGGGATCTGAGATGCACAAATTTAAGCTTGATGAGATTTATACTATACAAGTCTATATTTCCATTCATTGCCAATGGAGCTAAAAAAAGTCATTATTGGTAATGTTTTAGTTTTGAATACGTAACAAGATACTAACTTCCCTTGATTCTTACTTCAAGTTTGTGGCAGTATTTGCATCTAGTGCCTAACGAAATCAAACTCCATTATACGATTTAAGGTTGCATACTCTTGACTCTCACACCCCAACAGAGTTGACATAATACATGTTAGCTGTTATTGAAATGTATACTGTAGACAATTCATTTGCAATCAAGAGGTTTGAATGATAGAAACTACTAGAAGCAAGAAATGTCTGCTGCACAGACATAAGTTCGCAGCAATTCATGAAAAACACCCGTGAAAAAACTAGAACAATCTACGAAACTAATTCACATTGGAACTTACAAAAAATGGACAGAAACAATTGAATCGATAAACCCTATACCGGCGGCAAGAATCACAGAGATTCACAGAGAAACAGAGCACAAATGTATAAACGAAAACATCGAGAATTAAATATGGTCAATGAACGCAATTTCGCCCAAACCAATCGCTTGATTTGCATGATTTCAACAAGTTTAGATGATCACTTACACGACGACTCCTGAGTCCGAATGAGAGGAAGAATTGGCGGCAGGGCGGCCACAAATGCAATAGTGAGAGTTTAAAGGAGCCGATAAATGCCTCTTTTAGGGTTCTTCTGCTTCATATCGGATATGGGCTTACATTTGAGTGGGCCAACTGAAAAATGGGTTCAATTGCTTGACGTTTTTTAAAATTTGAAATTTATTTTCATTTTACTTTTGTTTTTCTTTTTCATTTTTTATCCAATTTTACTAAGTAAAAAGAGGGATATAATGGGGAGAGTGGGAGACTAGGCCTTACCCGTGCGAGAGAAAAACATATGGATAATTAATAGCATCAAATTTAAGAATACCCGTTACAGAAACTGAAAAAATAAAATCAAAAGAAACCGTACAAGAGTTGTGAGTAATAGTATTAGGGGTGAGCATACTTTGAGCATGGTACAAGAGTTGTGAGCATGGTACAATATAGTACTATATTTAGCCCGTACGGATACCATACCAAATATTTTGATTCAGTATGTGATTTTATTCCGTACCGATCATGATTCCGACATATTGGTTTGGTATGGTTTGGAATGATTCGTTATCAGTTTCGGTACAAATCGGGATGAATATACATACCTACTTTATACCTTAAAATTTAACAATATCCCTATTTTTGAAAATAAAAAAGTGAATTTAAATAAAAAAAACATGAAAAATTAAAAAAATTAATATTTAAATGCAAGAGATGTGTAACAAAGGATTTTTCGAATATTTGTGAATACTTTTATATTCATACACAAAAACTAAAACTCAAATAAAAGTATAACTTACACATAATAAAACTTGAACCATTTTTTTTTAAAAATTATTATTTAGTGAAAGAATATGAAAAATATTTTAGTATATATGTTCAGTTCGGGATTATTTTTTATAATATTTTAGTATATATGTTCAGTTCGGGATTTTCGGTATGAGACGTCACCTCGTACCGTTCCTAAATACCGTACCGACCATTCCGTTCGGTACGGTTCAGTTTCTTCTCGTTATTTTTTTGGTTCGGTATTTTTCAGTTTGGTATTCTCAATTTTTTTGGAAAAATTTGGTATCAGTTCGGTACTTGCTTACCCAATAAGTATTAAGGTAAGCTAACTGGGTTGCAACCCTATTGATATGGTGTAGGATATAATTGAAACTCCAGGCTCTCACATGGGGAGTGTCGATGAATGGCAGCAATCAAAAACTTATACTCCCTCCGTCCGAAAATATTCTTCCCATTTTCCTTTTTGGTCCGTCCGGAAATAATCTTCTCATTTTCTTTTTAAGTATGCTTTTTAAGGCTAAATATCAATAATACCCTTCTATTTTATCACAAATCTACTTTTTTAATACTAATTTAATAATAAAAGGAGATTTAAAAGTTTATAGTATATGCATTTTTGAAAATTTTGCATTTTTTTACTATTTCTTAATAAGTGTGTCAAGTCAACACGGAAAGAATATTTCCGGACGGAAAGAATAAAAATTATGAGGGATACAGCTACGATGAAGGAGATTACATATGAGGTAAACCCACGCATGTTTGTATTGAATCTAAATCAAAAGATTTAAACAAGAGGTAACCTTACTATTGTCTTTTATAAGATAAACCCAAACAGCTATGCGAGTGATCATTGCCAATTTTAAAGAAATAATGAGCACCAAAAGATATATATGTGAAATATGGAGACCACAAATCACACTGAATCAATTAAAATATAGCATCAACTTTATTTGATATTGTATATTGGCATTTCATAATATGTTTTGATATTATATTTTAATATGATTGACATTGTATATACATTTTAAATTGGAAAAAAAGAATAAAGTAGGAGTAAAACATTGAAAATATACCAAAATAGGACTTCCATATTTTTATTATCGAAATATGAGCTAAAATTTATTTACATTACCAAACATTGCCAAACATGGTTGTGTAAATTTCCAAAAAAATATACGGAGTGGTATGTATAGTGCCACATTTTAACCACATTACCACAGTGTAAAGTCTTATTTTGAAAATAAAAAATGAAAGTCCTATTTTGGTATTTTTAAATATGTTTTAGACATATTTAGAATATTTTATATTTTAACTTTTAACTCATTTTTAAAAAATAAAAATATAGAACTTATAGTTTGATATTTTTTTATGTTTTACTCTAATTTTAGTTTATTTACTCCCATTTTTGAACTCTTAATTTGATAAAAGGGAGAAAGACCAAACTAGGACTAAAACATTGAAAATATATCAAAATAGTACTTTCATGTTTTTATTTTCCGAAATAGGACTTACATTACCAAACATGGTCATATACATTACCAAAAAAGTATAGTTATTTACACATGTACACTGCCATATTACCACAATGCAAAATTACATTACCACAGTGCAAAGTTCTATTACAGGAAAAAAGACATGAAGTCATATTTTGATACTTTTCTCTATATTTTATTCCTATGATTTTTATTGATAAAATTTTCATATTATTCAACTTTGATCTCAAGCCCAATCCTTTAATATAATATTTGAGAGTTGATAGCCTAAAATGATGACATGTGTCATTTGAAAAGGTTTATTTTAATGCAACCTCAGCCTCCACGCGTCGATAATATGAGCGTTTTTCATTCACAAGCTTCAGCCCCATTCGACCGTGCCATTCCACCGGAAGAAAAAATTTCTCAGACCACGAAGATCTCGCCCTTTCCTACTCCATCGCATCGCATAAAATCCGCGATTTCTCAGATTTATTCATGGATTTACGAGGTGTAAAAGTAGAAACTTCCCATATCTTCATCGCGGATCCGTCTTCCCGAATCTAGCCTGCAAATTAGGTTTGTTTAATTCTATGGGGAAAATCCAAATTAGGTTTGTTTAAACATTTTAGTATAATTCTATGGGGAAAATCTAGAAGAATACGTGCCTTCTCCACGATCTCCGTCCTTCTTTTGCAATCATTTTCCTTCTTCTTTGTTAATCAATCAATGCCAAATCCCAATTTCTCCTTATTTTCTTTCCTTAATGTTATTATCTCTGTTTTTTTGCTTCTACATCTCTATTTTCTGCTATGCGCTAACGCTTAATTATATAAGTTAAACTTTTGATTGTTTGTATAAATTGATATTTATTCAAGATTTCATCAATTTCAGGTGAGAAATACTTTTTTTTGAATGCTAGGGCGAAATTCTAATTCCTCAACGTGGGCAGCAACCGTCTACAACAAAAGCTCTCATTGGTATCTGTGAATTTGGTATGTGAAATTGATTCGGTCAGTGTATCAAATATGTGTTTGAATTGGAAATAGAAATTACATGAAAATAGTGATAATTTTAATACCTATTTATTTCAAGATTAGGATTAACCCTTTAAAATTGATTAATTATATCCATTTGGGGTTCAGATCTCTGTTTTGAAAGACAATTGCATTGTGTTGGTGTTCTAAAATAAAAATCGTGTATTTGATCAAATTTGTCATTGTAATACAGATTAATTTATTTACATTTATTCGTAGCACCGTATTTTCTTAACTTTTTGTTTGGCACAACCAAGATTACCCATCTCCTTTAATTTTGAAAATTACCCCGACCGGTGAGTGTGAGGGTTAAAGTGATATGAGTATCAATTAAATCAAGAAAATATTTATTGATGAATTTGTAAGGTATAATTTCATTTTTTGTGGTCGGTCTTTTTTCGTGGTGTTCATTTCAGGCTGAATGAATTTATTCTATTTAATTTGTATATTGTTATGAGCTTATGAAAGTAATTTTTTATTTCAATTGAACTATGATGTTTAAACGATTCAAAGAACCCTTTTTTGCTGATTGCAGTTATGAGAGTATGAGGCTTGAATTATTTTTTAAAATCTAAACAAGTCAGTGTTTTAAAAAATTGAACCACATTGTTTGACATAAACTACATAAAAGTTGTCAAAATAATTGCATTCGTCTTCACCCTTTGTTTAGAGTGGTGTATGTGTGAAGCTGTCTTTTATTTATCTTATGAGAGTTAGAATGATGTCGATGCTATATTAAACAATGAAATTATGATGGAGTAGTATTTCACATGGCTAAGAAAATCTCAAGAGTCAAAATGTGGATTGTTTTAGACCATGGTGCTTGCTATATACCAGAGTATGAATTCTTTTATTGGAAGTGAGATTTGGTAGAAAAGTAATATTGTCTCTTTTCTGTAATTTCATAGTCTTTGTGCCTATGGTCTCCAAGGAACTACTCTGAACCATGCATGCTTCCATTCGTATAAGGTGGTTCACATTCTTCCAACACCAAATAATAAAGGTTAAAATTAACATTTTTGTCTGTTTTGGAATCAGCAATAACACTGGCTTTATTGCACATCCCTACATGAATTCTGCCTTAATTTTCAACCAAGAAAAACTATTTGTTGTGAAGAAATTTGGTGTTGTGAGTGTGACAGATCAAGAATATATACAATGCTTAAATGTTCTACTCTCAAGCCATGGTAAACAAGCATTAACAATACTTCTTTTGCTAAGATTTCTTGGAGATGATTTTCTAACATGGTCATTTGTTATACGGTTTTTATTATATTTACAAGGTTTGTGTGTGGTGTTTGTTTGTACTTTCATTCACTAACATATGACTACACCCTTTTATTAACTGAATGAGTTACTTTGTTGTGATTTTTTTTAAACATGAGACAAATTGGTGCACTAAGAAGACTTAAGCGGCACACAAAAAGACTTAACTTAATATCCATCTCGAGGCCAATAGGGCTAATCCTTTATATATAAATTTGAGAGTTTGAGCTCTAGAAATTTGACATGGGGCATTTTTAAAAGGTTGGATTTTTAGACACGTAACCTTACACGCGTCTATAGTAGACTTCATCGCTCAAATATGGACGTCTTCGCCAATTTCTTCTTCGCGGATTGCTTCACCAAAGGAAAGCACTTTACACCGATTTCTTCATTGCTAATTTCAAGCAATTTTTTCATCACCAATTCTTCTCTAGAGGACTTCACACCGAAATTCATATGAATTTTTATTTAATTGGTAACTTCATGGATTCTGATTATCGGTAGGTAACTTGATTGTGTGATTTTGCAGAATTTTTGTCCATGGAAAGCCAGAAGGACACAACTTCTTTGAGCAGAACCTTCATCGATATACTGTATAGGTTATGTCACTTTTATGTGTTCTGTGCTTTCAGCTAATCTCTTAGGGTCCGTTTGGTATACAGAATTGATGGAATTGGAATTGAATTGGAATTGAAATTTCATGGGATTCAATTCCATAGAATTTGAATTCATCAATTTCAATTCATTTTTTGCACTGCCAATTCCAAATTCACATAATTTTTGTGCTACCAAACACCAAAATTGGAATTGAAGTTCTCAATTCCAATTCCACAGTTTGAATTCCGTGTACCAAACGGGGCCTTAATTTTTTGTTTTTACATCTTTCTGAACAAATCTTTGGTTTCAGGTTTGTTGCTTTGCACAGGGAAGGTGCAAATTTAGAGCAGGTTGATGAGGAACAAATAAATGACTAAGGATGGGCAGGTTGGGCATTTAATTTAAATAAACATGATCAATATTGGGATGTCTTCATCATTCAAATAGGAGTAAAAATTAAAAATGTAAATCAAAGAACATTAGGCAGAAGAAGAATGCTAATCAAAATAAAAAAGAAATGAGATTAAAATGGCTAATAATTTTCATTTGTTATATTGGAACCACCACAGCCCTATTTTTTTTCGTTGAAATGTTTCTCCTTATTCCTTCATAACCTATTTTTACGTTGAGACGACTATTCATCCTTTGTCCAAAATCAATCAAACGAGTGAGTGTTGGAGAATAATGGTTCGTGTTGTAAGACTATATACTTTACCTCTATATAGTAATGAGAAGATGACAAATTCTATTGAGGTATTTTGCTTTCTCTTCCCTTTAAGTTGGTAGTTTACAATGGTATTTACTTTCAAATTGCTTTGTGACAACAATTTTTTTGTCATGTGAGGTATTTTGCTTTCTTTTCCCTTGGCCTCCTTTATGGAAAATTTGTTAATTGGGTCATCACTTTTCATTCTGTGACATTTACTTCTCATCACATATAGCATACATATGAAATAGTAAGGACTATTATTGGGTCTTGGGTTTCTGGCAGATAGTGGCTTTTGGATTTTAAATTTAGTAGAATACTGATAGGGAGAAGAAGATGTTATCATTTTGTCTTTTTAAACACATGCAACAGATTGTTGTGTCTTTGACAATTGAAGGAAACCTGTAAAGTGCTTCTCTACCATAGAATTGATATGAATCCTGTTATTTTATTTTGGTTGATTTGTTTAAAGTACTCAAGTTTATGCAAAATATGAATTTTGTAGCCATGAACTTTTGCTGTTTGAAGCCCTATGTGAAGGACTTGATGAAGAGATGGCAAGAGATCCAAGTGTTTGTGTAATGGGTGAGGATGTAGGCAACTATGGGGGTTCCTACAAGGTCACCAAAGGCATGGCTGAAAAGTATGGTGATCTAAGAGTCCTCAACACCCCTATTGCCGAGAACAGGTTCACGGGACTCGGCATCGGAGCAGCCATGACCGGTCTCTGTCCCGTCATCGAGGGCATGAACATGGGATTTCTCCTCCTTGCCTTCAACCAAATTTCCAAGATACCCATTGTCATCCGGGGACCCGGTGGGGTGGGCAGGCAGCTAGGTGCAGAACACTCCCAGCGACTCGAGTCGTATTTCCAGTCCGTACCCGGCATCCAAATGGTGGCATACTCCACCCCTTACAATGCCAAGGGTTTGATGAAGGCTACCATTAGTATGTTTTATTTGGGCTACTGCTTTGAAGTACGACCAGTTCTCCTCAGAGGTAAAGTCTTGGACACCACCCCGTCACACTTGAACCTCCTCGCACTTGGGTAAATTTGCAGTAATTGAAATTTTAAAATTTTTTACTCCTCTTTTTTTGTTTCTAAATTACACAGACTTATAGTTGGAATTTCTTATCAATTCTATGAATTATGAAATGAAGTTTATCAAAATTTTCTTATCAATTCTATGAATTATGAAATGAAGTTTATTATAGGGAAAAAACATGAGATTGAATGTCAGAGCAAAAGTAAATAATGTCAAAGCAAAGAAAGCATAAATATTTACTAACAAAAATGAATCCAAACCATAAAAAAGATACTTCCCTTCTATATGCCTGAAATCAATCTTCCACAATTGAGATAAATTGATTTTTTATTCTTCTTCCAGGCTTCTCAGATGTGCTTCATGTATGGTGGTGAGTCATACTCCTTGAATCTTATTGATATTCCAGGTCATGTAGATTTTTCATATGAGGTATTTTTCTTTCTCTTCCCTTTAAGTTGGTAGTTTACAATGGTATTTACTTTCGAATTGCTTTGTGACAGCAATTTTTTGTCATGTGAGGTATTTTACTTTCTTTTCCCTTGGCCTCCTTTATGGAAAATTTGTTAATTGGGTCATCACTTTTCATGGATTTTGGATCTTGGGTCTTGGATTTATGGCAGACAGTGGCTTTTGGATTTTAAATTTAGTAGAATACTGATAGGGAGAATAAGATGTTATCATTTTGTCTTTTTAAACACATGCAATAGACTCTTGTGGCTTTGACATCTTAATCCAGCAGCCTAATCTGTATTGCTTATGCATCCCCTTTTGGATTTGTTGTTAATTTTGATCAGACTCTTAGCCTTAGCATTGATATAGCTTTGGATGTCATTGACATAGTACTTCGTAGTACTTCGTAAAATGGCACGGATATTTTAGGCACTGATTTCCTGAGTAAGGATAAAACTTTACAACATAAGTGTATATTTATGATAATCAAATCATTTCTCTAGCCATTTCACCTTACTTTCATGCCATTTGCTTAATTCCTTTCTTAAATAAAGGGGACAAAGGAATATACAACAATATTATTGTACTTGATATACTCCATTTTTTCTTGAATATATATTATTGGCATGTTATGCTTTGTCCTACCATTGAAAAAAATACATACCAGAGGATTAAAAGAGTGGTTGCAGAATTGTTGTGTTCCAACAATGGTTGTTGAGATCATTGAAGGCTGAAGCATGGTGGCTGAGGGATGATCACTCCCATACCACCAATGGTTGTTAAGGTCATTGAAGACTTAAAGATTCTGTAGAGAAACATTGATGCTTGCATACACTTTAAAGACAAATTTAGAGAACTCCATGTAGTAGAATATATTTCCCCTTCTGTCACATATGTTTTTTTTATGAGTATGCTAGAATTTGGATTTCTTTTTTGTAATGTGTTCCATGGAGGCTGCTTTTGCTTTATGATGGTGTATAGCTTATACCAAAAAATTTTGAACCCGTGCGTGGCACTAATACTGATTTTTTTGTTTCTTTTCATTATATAAATTAATGAAATTCTCGAATTTTAACTTCTTTTCTGTTTATTTAAAAAAACAACAGGTTTGGGAGGCACTAATACTGATTTTTTTGTTTCTTTTCTTTGAAAAGGAGTTGAATTTCATAATATCAATTAGGAGCAAGAGTTTTGAACATGTAAAATTACCCAAAAATAATCTTAAGTACTTAGTTTCTTTAAGAAAAAAACAGTCTTTCTTAAGAAATAGTGTCTTTTTAATAATCTTTTTGAACGATATCAAGTGTTCAGGGATTTCAAACCACAAAATTATTTTGAAGAAAGGAGTACTAATTAAGTTATTAAGAAACATTGATCAAACATTTTGGTTGTGTAATGGTACAAGGTTAATAGTTGAAGAGTTGTAAAGAAACATTATCGGTGCCATTGTTGTATCAAGAAACAATGCCGGTGAGAAAGTTTACATACCAAGAATGAATTTGGTACCATCAAATCTTGAATTACCGTTCAAGTTTCAAAGAAGACAATTTCTAATATCTTTATGTTTTGGCATGACGATCAATAAGAGTCAAGACCAAACAATATCATTTGGTAGATTATTATTGACCAAATTGATATTCACTCACGGTCAACTTTATGTTGCAGTTTTACGAGTCAAGACTAAGAAATGATTGAAAGTGTTAGTTTTAGATGACAACACTAACCCTTCCAATTACACCAAAAACGTGGTTTACCCTGAAGTTTTCCAAAAAAATTGGATTTAATTAATACATTTATTCGTTGTCTCAATTTTTATATACATGAATTTTAGTTAGTATACTCTGTTTATGTTGTATCATTCATTATACTTCTAATATTGTATATTATATTTAGCTATATTTTTAACCATTTACTAAAATCGAAAATTTAACAGGGTTAAAAACAACATGCGTTCGAGAAAGTAAATAGAGCAGCTCTTAGAGTTCAGCTGAACCATCCTCTTCTTCTCCTCTCCACGCTCTCACTGGTTTGCTCGAGAGATCATCCGAAAACCAGCCATGCTGCTCGAGCTCCCCCGCCTCACAAGTTCTCTACGCGACCCGTTCGACGTCGATCAAGCCTATTTACGCCGGAAAACCATCCTCCAACACCTCAAGCCTCGCAGGTACCTACTCTGTTCGATCATCTTCAATTCGATTAGTACCGCCCAAAATTTCCCACTCCCCCCCCCTAAGATTTAATTTTTTTGTTTTTCGTTTTTTCGTGAAGTTCTTCCAGTTCGCTTGAAGAATCAGAGCTCGCTCGGAATATTGTGTATAAGTGGGACGAAGGTTTTACGCTGAATGCTTTACAAGCTCACTGGGTTTGTTAACATGGTTGAGAAAAAATGATTTTTGAATATTGGGTTTTGATTTGTGATTGCTTGCAGCTTCCCCGGAATTGAGACAAGCGTACAAGCAGTTTATTGGAGCTGTGCGCGAGTTGGTGGGTGCTGACGTATTGCCAGATGAGTTTAGGGAGGTGGCATTGAGTGTTTATAGGCATTTTAGTAGGCCTATGGTTGAAGGTGAAGAGGACCGTCTGATATCAGAGAAGAAGTAAGAGTTCTGAAAATCCAATATAGTAAATGTAGCCCTATTCTTGCATGTTTGTCCATTTGTATTTTAATTTCTATTGTGAGTTTTACACTTGGTTTGGATGAGCATCATTCTGCTAATTCTGAAATATCTTGTTTCCAACTTTTCCTGATATGTTTTCAGCCAATTTCTTTCTTTTTTCCCATTTTAACTTTCATCACTGCTTACTTGGTAAGCCTGATGCATGCATTTGACTTGCTATTTTCTGCTCTGCAGTGCAAGCCAAACCATTTTATAGTAGGCCGTAGGGGTTGCATTCGCATACAGACTGGTGGGTGGTTATCGGTCTTTCAATTTATCTGAACCTGATATCTTGAACTGGATATAAGTCTATAACATAGTTGAAAACCTAAAGAGGAAATTGGGCAACATGGCATGAGGCCTGGCCTTACATTCCCACTCACCTAAGATTATAGGAATGTGAATGTCTATCTTTTTAAGTGCAACCATTGCATTTTCAATGTTGTGGTGCGTGGGGTTGCTACATGTTTCTCTTATTATGAATTCCCCAGTTTCTTCTAGTAATCTTGAAATTCCAGTCAACCTCTCTTATCCGACCTGCTTGTTTTAAAGTATCATTCCATAATTGTTAGCCCTCTGGCAAGTGTACTGCTTTCTGTTTAATTGATCTAGTTTCAACCAACATCTTGTTTCATTTACTAATCTTTTCCGCATTGTAAGATGATTGCATCATGTCTTTTAAAATATTTCTTTGTACTTGTGGTGAAAGCAGGTTAGATCTGCAAAAGCTTGTTGGCTATGCTATTTCTAATGCAGTTTTATGCAAAGCTGCAGTTTTGGCACAAAGGGTTTCTGAGTTGCAGGATAAAAATAGTCAAACTATACCTATTGTAGAAATACAAGATGTGAGCGGTGATATTTTGGAATTTGGAGCAGACCTTATGTTCCAGCCACCCACTCGTTTTTTAGTTGATACTTCTTTGGAAGATACAGACTTGGATATTGGTCATTACAATGAGGCTATAAATTACCAAGATGTGCATGGTCATGGTCGCTCCTTTGACAGCGGACATTTAACAGGACCTAAATTTGATTTAGAATGGTTAAGAGATGCTTGTGATAGGATAGTCAATGAAAGTACATCACAACTTCCAAGAGATGAGTTAGCAATGGCAATATGCCGTGTGCTTGATTCAAACAAACCTGGTGACGAGGTAACTTGATCATGATTTCCTTCTGACTGCAATTTAGCTTGTCTGGTGCTATCTTAGTTCTAAGAGCATTCAAATTGTTCCGTGAAGGTAGCCGGTGATTTGCTAGATCTTGTTGGTGACAATGCATTTGAAACCGTTCAGGATCTTGTCATGGTAAGACGTTATCCCTACACAGCTCCTTTCATGGGTTTCCTTGCCACTGTCTGTCTAACTGTGCTTCAAGCCTGGGTCACTGTTTGAGGCTGATAAAATGCCCAATAGTTTCTTTGAACCCGAAAAAATCAGTAGACGTGGCGATGTTTACTTCAACTATAAAAATAGCTTCATGGTCATTTTTGCACACTTTTACCCTTTTCCTTGAAACAAGTTCTTTTAGGTAATGTTTGGGAACTAGCATTTCATTTCATTTCTTGTATTTTAATTCCGGAATTTGAATTCTTGAGTTTCAATTCCAAAATTTGAATTCTGGATTTTCAGATGACAAGTAGAGGTATATGAATGTGTAATAGAGCTTTATTATGAATTAGAGGAATTTGTCTCAAATCCAAAATTTGAAGATTCCCTAACATGAAATTTGAGCCAAATCAAGATTTGAATCCAAATACAAGTTCCCAAACATGCTATTATAGAATTTTTCCCAAATGGACTTGCAAATTTCCCCCAACTATGAATGTCTTTCTTTTTATTCTTTTTATTGGATAAGTAATGAGACAAATACCCTTCCCACCCTTACTATCCCAGTATAATCCCAACTCCGTTGGGGTTTGGGAATCAAGATGTACACAATATCCATGAAAAAATAGAGGTTTCCATTAAACCCTAGATGCATAAACCTTCATAAAAAGTAAGAAGCAGAAGAGTTTTTGCGTGTGATATTGATTTAAAAATTGCTTGGTGACGCATGGGTGTGGCACTCCACCCTTCTTTTTTTTATTTTTTTTAAAAATTCCTTTATGAAAAAAATGTATAAGAAAGAAGAATAAATTTTTGATAAAATAAATAATAAAAATATTTTTTTTATGCGTAAATAACATAAAAAAATGTAAAAAAGTGATAAAAATAATGACTTGCCACTGTAGAGCTTGCCACTCCATTCACTTGCCACACGCTGACTGGACAATTTTTGATTGGTTAAAATGTTCCACATCATCGTGTGGCATTCCATTTTTGCCTTGCCATTGTTGATGCTCTTAGAGTGTCATCCCACATGGGAAGTCCAAGAGTAAAATAATCGGTATATAAGCTCTTGAGTTGAACTAACTAATCAATTGGATTCAATCTTTTAATATGGTTCAACTCAAATATCTTACTTGGTCCGTCCCTGAGTGTTTGTCCATTTTTGACTTTTGGAACTGTTCATCTAAGCACTTTGACTCATCAAATTCTCTCAATGTGTAAGCCAAAAAATAGTCATGTGTCATCTTGTTTGATTCGTCTTAACATATAGATTATTAATATATAATTTTTATAATTTTTTAATATACAAATTACAAGATAAAATGGATTAAAGAAGTGCATTGGATAGTGTGCAAAAATGAATGTGGACAAACACTCAGGGACGGAGGGAGTGTTACCCAATCCATTTATCCTTACCCCATATCAAATTCTATCAATACCCTCAAAGTTTACAGCAATGTTTTCATCATGAACACTATCTACATGATCCCCTCTCTCATTTCTGATTATGATTCTCTTAACGGCCCACCTCTACCTCACGAGAATGAATACAAGTGCGGTTAATAAGCATACACCACACTAACATTACATACCTAAGAGGCCTTGGGTCGCCTCAAGAGAGGAGGTATCAAAACCAGCTTAACGATTGATCTTAGTGTGTTAGTTGTCTGCAAATCACAGAGTTCGTCCTTGATCCTAAACAGCTAAATTTTGATTATACTCTGCTGTGATGTACATTGCTGTCTTTATTACAGTACTTCCATTGCCAAAAGAGTAGAGGCCACATCATTTTGCAACCAGAATAAGTGATACATAGCAGGCTTAATTGTGGAACACCACATATTCTTGTGCAGCAGAATACTGGAAGTAATGTTTGTCTTTCCAAACCTGCTATCCAGAGTTCAATTAGAATGAAAACCAAGCATAGCAACACCTTCCTTAGTTATCAATACTCATCTCTTTTAATCTTAATGGAAGTAGTTAAATTTGGATA